ACCTATTTAAGTGACCAGGCAATTGCCTCACTTTTACTTCAATGTTCAGTCTAGGATAAAGACTATTTCCAAGCATTTTGGACATATAGTTTTTAAATAAAAAAGGATTGCTTACTGACCAGTTCCAGATAATGCCTAATGACTGATTCAGGTAAATGAAATAGTTTACAACATTCCTTTGACATGCTTAAACAAGCTTATCAATTAAACAACATTCAGAGATATGATGACCAAAGGCTAAACTGGAATAGGATTAGAAGGGAGCACCCCTGGAAGCTTTACCCATCAATTTATAGTATAAACATGCTAAAATCAACTTCATAACCTTGTTATGATTTGTCTGCAAAGCATGTTACTGTACAGTCCAGTTTATTTCTGTTTTTGGTAACTGAGATTCCAGACCAGCCCTTTTAGAAGAACAGCAAGGCAATAAAACTTAATGAAGTAGCAAGTAGTGAACTTGGGAAAAGGAACATGAAACATGGATACTTAAGATACACCCAAAGAGAAAACCTTTCAACAAACTGTGAAAATCTTCACTAATAAATGGTCATTTTAAAGTCTAAGTAATTTAGCATACCCCCATGAAATTGCTGAAGTTAAGGAAACCTCGTTGTAAACAAACACAAACAAAGAACAACTAGTCTACTCCAAACCAGACAAAAATAATTGTTTAAATACTTTTTAACCACATTTGCACTAGATGAAGAACACACACACACTAATGCTCACTTGAAAAAATTTTATTCCATTCCAAAAAAAAAAAAAAGCACTGCAGTTGAGATCATACATGTTTCTATTAAATTATGTCAGAAAAAGGCTTTGTGGTAATAGAGTGTTTATCAGCACAACATTACAGTATTTATCATCTTTCCATAACCATATTTTTGAACAAGTGTACAGCACAAGTTTTACTTTATGCATGCAGAGTTGCAGAAAATTTAGGAAAACTGCCTTTTTTTTTTTTTTTTAAAGATAGGAAACCCTCCAGCCATTTCACAAAATGGAGGTAGTTTTAAGAATATACAACAAGTGTCTGAACAGTGCTATATTACACAGTTAATTTTAACTTGCTTTTTTTGAGATAGCTTGATTATTTTATAGGGAAACAGTTCAGTTATGGTTGGTAACAATTTTACGCAGGCTACCTGAGAAGATGCCCTCTGATCCACACACCAATCATCACCACTTTGAAACTTTCACTTTATTTTATAAATTTCCAGTGAAGACTTTAGAGTCAGAGAGTTGCTGGAGAGGCTTCCTTCAGGGGCTCAGAAAATCTTGTTTCTAACAGTTTGTAATTTATAGACTCTGGAGCTAAGTCTTTTAAACTCCTAGAGGGACTGGCTGTTCCAAGCCTTACACTTAACTTGTCTTCATGTTAAGGTTTGTCCAATAACAGTAAGTTAAGGGTGTGCAGGTGCTGAAAGCATAGCTTACGCACTGAGTAAGGGGCAACAAAACGCTCATGCTAACGAAGCAGTGGGGAACTCCACACTGCTCAGGCTTCTTATACCAGAAAAGTTTAAGTTATAAAATCCCCTTCTCATGCCATTTTACAAGACAAGTTCATTTGTTTGGCCTTTATATATATCTATATTAAAAAAAAAGGTAAAGAAACGTAAACATTTTCAGGTTTTCCATTCTGCCTGACAACTGTTGCCCTTTTCCAGGCCATTTACTTGGCAGACAGTCTAACAGTAGTATTTAATAATCATCCTCTTCATCAGAATCCAATACTTTCCTTCTGTTGAACTAAAATGAAATATACAAAGTGAAAACACAAGGGGCACAGTACGCCCAACATAGAACAAGCCTGTCAAACTCTGCCCACTTAACTATTAATATATTACAAGGGAACAGAAGAGTCACCCCATCACAACCTTCCAGTCCCCACCTGGCATAGTGGTACAGTACAAAAGCACAGCAGTCTGTCTCACAACAAAACACCAATATCCCAGTGCTAATATCTGCAAATTAGACTATTGAGAAGGACTTCTATAATACAATCCCAATACTTATCAGCGTGTGTAGCAGTGATGGTAAATAAGAAGTTCACTTCTATGCTGAACCGAAGTGGTACACTACATGCAGTTTTTCTGCTCTCTTTTTAACTATTTAAAAATATATTTAGGAAATGAAGCTTACCTTTACTGTTGTTGTCTTTTCTGTTTGCTGACTTGCTTTCTCAAGTATTTCTATCAAAACTTGTTCTGTTATCTAGGAAAGAAGTAATGTAAATACATTCTGAGAGATGTTTAGTAACAAAAAAATGAATTCACTTTCTCTTCTTATAAAAGGTGTTTGATAGAATTTTGTAATAGCCTTCAGAAGTTCTTAACTGCATTTTTTCAGTTAATTTGCAAACATTAAAAACATTCAATATTTTTGAAGGAATTAGGTTTGAAAATGGATGTATGTGAGAAAATTAAAAAAAAATATGCCATAACTCACCTTTCCAGGTAGCTGTCCATATCTTGCCATCTGTATAAGGTAATTCTCTACTGCTTTTGCTTTGTCTGGTTTCACAAGTGCCAGATTGCTCACTGCAATAAAAACAGGCTCTATTCATTCATACCTGAATAGCTTCACTAGTAACTAAAAAGTGACAAAAGTCCTTATCAAACTGACTTCATGCCAGGGTAGTGAAATCTAAATCAAAATCCCTTCTTCAATGTAAGACAGATTAAAAAAAAGCTGTATTTTTTAAATATTTATTTCTTTAAATGCTTGTTCTTAACTAATTTTGAATCACTACAGCTCCTATTATTAGTTCAAAAAAGTTGGATTAATGTCATTCAGACGTCAGTTAACCACCCCCCTCACTGGTATCACCAATCGAAAAGCTGTAGTGGTTTTCACCTCAACGTTTTCTATTCTAGCCTCTATACAGGCATGTATGTTCTTGATTTGAGCAGCACTGAGTACACTAGGTGAGAAGTCTTTATTAGAAAGTTATTGGATACTTACATCTCGCACGTGCTGCTTGATCGAGAACTTGAGCTAAAATAGTATTTCTTATTTCTGCTTCCCTGTAACAAAAAATTAGCTACATGTTAAAAGTGGGATTTCAAACACCTAAAATAATATGTGCAATACAATAAAATTTACAGAAGACTTTCCATTCATTTAAGTGACTTTCTGAAGTCCCTTCAAACCCTACATTTATATGGTTTCTTCTATAGCATTTTCTGTCTTGGAGAGCTGTACATACATCAGCAATAAAGTTACTATATAGCTGACATCATCTTGCAAGAAATTGAGATGGAGTTTACTACTTACCCCTTATTAAAGTTGATTATTACATCCTGATAGAAAAACGGAAGCCATGCTACCCCCGTAAAGATTCTAAATTCATTTCAATCTAGAATTTCACCTAAGGTAGTTTGTTAGAGCATGAATAATGAACAGTCTGTGCAACTCCAAGACAGAACTAAACCTCATCATTTATTTAGCAGTTTTCAGTAAGTCTTCATGTACTTACTTGCCTAGGTGTTCACAAAAATGGAATTTTACTTGTTTTATTTTCGGTATTTCAGTTAATACAAGCCCCAACTGTGTGCTCTCACCTCAACTTCTCACAGAAGTCTGGCTCTTTAAACATATGATTTTACTTTGGAAAAATTAAAATTTACTTTTTTTTTTTCCTTTATAAATCTCTCATATTTCTGGTCTTTTGTTGGTGTTTTTCCAAGATCAAAAAAATCAGATGAGCATTCCAAATAAACACAATATTAAAAAAGAAGAAAAGATTCAAAACTATTAGATTTAAGACACTACTGAAAGTCAACAGTTCCCATTTATACCTCTGTTTTGCTTCCTGTTGCGACGGATCAGCAGAAGAATCCTAAAGAATGATATCAGAATAAAATACTGTAATTCAAGAACATTCGACACAGGACAACAAGTTTAAGTATTTTAGTAGAAATCATTGTCAGCCAAATCTGCCTGACCACAAACTAGATCCTAAAAATAAAAATCTACTGCCCTAGCAAATACACATGCCACGCTAGTTGTTTCTTTCCTCACAAAGCAGTAATGCAAACTAGTTGGTGACTGCTGCTACTGGATCTAGCCACAGATTGTTCTAGGTTTGGACATTAAAAAGCCTCACGTTTAGATCTAAGACAATAAACTTCCCTGAAGCTGAGAAAACAAAGATATTAAATCCTTTAAAGCAAGAAATGCAATGCAATGCTTTGCATTTATCAATGCAGAAGAAAACACAATCCTATCAGAGAATTTCAGGACTAAATTGGCAGGTAACTATTCAGAAGTAATAACGAGATTCAAGTGAACCTAACGTTGCATCTAGACCTCAAATTTTACAGGTGACACTTCAAAGTGTGAGAGCAGAACGGGAAATCTGAGACACTCACAAAACAGATGTGACTGAAAGGACGGGTGGCAGGGACCCGCACCGCTGCGGGTGGCGGGGACAAAGGCGGGCAAAGACTGCCTGCGGGGCCCGGCGGGGCAGGCAATGCCCCTCAGGGACCTCCTGCTCCCGCTGCAGCAGCACCAGGGGCCCCCCCGCCAGCACCTCGAGGCCGCAGAGCAGGGACCGCCAGGCCGCTGCCGCCTGACCCGGCCTGTGCCCGGAGCCGTCACTTAGGGGAATATCGCGCCCGTCCCCGCCTTGGTGAGGGCTGCGGCGGGAGAGACCCCACGGCGGCAGGGAGCGGGGTTCCCCGGCCGCGCCTTACCCCGTGCTTGGCCTGCAGCTCGGCCAGCCGCTGCCGCCGGAGCGCTTCCAGCTCGTCGTCCGCCATGGCTGAGGGCGGGCGCCAGGCGCTGCGCCTGCGCCACCGCTGCCAATGCACGGCCGAACGCGGGGCTTCGCTGAGGGGTTCGGGGAGCCGTGTGGGGCCACGCCGGAGGCCATCTCGGAGGCTGCCCCGGAGGCCGCCTGGCCCCGGCAAGAGTGACAGTGGAGGGGGCTGTGTTCCCTCACTGGGGTCTTTTTCTTTCAGGGGGTTGCTCCCCGTCGTTCCCCCACACGTCGAAATGGTTCTTTGCCCCGATATTGAAGGTTCCGTGCTGGACAGAGCAGCTCACGGGGGAAAAAAACTTCCCGCTGCGCAGCGGGATGGTTCTTCAGCAGGTTGCCGTGGGCAGCGTTGCCCGAGCTCTTGGTCAGTGAGCTTATCTCCTTGAGACCTGTCTGGCTGGTGAACCTGCATGCAGTTCAGCTTCTGTAACATGACTGCAGCTGTAGCAGTGGTGGTGGTCTGAGAAGAGCATGTGGGGAATTACAGCTCCCTTTTCGAGAACACCTGATCGATGCTCAGGGAGCCCAAATCAGGCCAGACCAGGCCAGCCTTCCCTGTGGCTCCTCTTCCTTGAGGGGTGCTTACATTACACCAGGTAAGCTGCTACTGGGCCAGTAGAAACAGTTTTGCTTTGGTGTGCCTGTTTGTCTTTATTGGTGCAGCTTGTCATAATTGTATTTTGATAATAATATCATAGTGCTTCAGCAGTGCCTTCATCTGTTTTCAAAAAAAAAAAGGGGGGGGGGGAGGAGGTAGTGGAGGAGGCAGTGCTTTGGTTATGCTTCCTGACTTGCAGAAAATGGACTCCACAATCAGTAAGATTGTAAAGTAGGTATGTTTATTCAGCGCTGGACAGCACGGGGGGGGGGGGTAGTCCCGCCAGTCATGCACACCTGACATGGCAACTTGCCTTGGTTTTATGCAGTAAAGAGTTACATATGTATGAAGTTTCACAAAACTCCCTCTCTCATTCCCACACATTCTTCCTTGACTTATTTCCACAATCTGTTCAGCTGTGACTCCCCAAGGAATAACTTGCCATGCTTTTACCACACCTTTCCAGTTCAATCTGTGGTTGGCAATTAGGACTAAAAAAGAATGAAATGATACTGCTTCCTGCCCCTCTGTCATGAGGTCTGGCCCTCTCGGGAAAGAAACCAAAGGTGTAGGAAATTGACAAAAGGAGCCAGCCTTCATCAAACTGGTACATTCATCTTGGTACAAAGTCACTCTAGTATCTAGTCAAAGTGGCTGTTGCAGGTGACGTGGAAAGCAAACTCCACAGTCAGTAAGACTGTAAAGTAGGTATGTTTATTCAGTGCTGGGCGGCATGGTGGCATACTTTCCCACCGAAGTCGTGTACACCCCAATGCGGCACTTGCCTTGGTTATATGTGGTGAAGAGTTACATATGCATGAAGTTTCTCAAGATGCCTATATATATGCATGACCTATCCCAGCTTTGTATTAAAATTAGTTCCAGGGAGTCATTTTCATAGATTCCTCCTATTCACGCTTGCACAATGTTTTCTGGTAGTAGTCGCCAGGGGTCGTGGGGATGAAGATTAGTGAGTCTTCCTCATCACTGCTGGTTGACCTCTCATCTCAGTGCAGATTTATAAGCTTCTCAGCTTCTGCTTAAACTGCAGATTAGGTTTCACTTGGTACTTGAAACGTGTTTCCTGTTTTCTATCAGGAACTGTTGTTCATGAGGAATCCCAGAATTTCCTGACTCAGTTTCTTTGCACAATAGGGAGCAGAAGATATAGTACATGTCCCTTACCTGTCTTATTTACTAAACTTTGGGCTTCGTTTCACATGCCAATTAGCTTATCTTATCTACTAAAATTCTTTCAGCCTCCTCTCACAGACACACTCCCTCGACAGCTTCCATCACATCAAATGGGTAACTGTCATGGAATCATAGAATTGGAGAATGACCTGAGTTGGATCACTGAGTTCAACTTTGATATTTGAGGTTATGCCTTTTTATGTTGATCATTCACACATTCTTTTTAAAGGCTGTATTTTTTTAGTCATACTTAAAGATTTTACTTAACTAAAGAAACAAGCTAAACACCAAAAGCTGCTTTTTTATAGGTAAGCCACTATTTTCTAAAAATAGAGGTTTCTATTGAAATACATTACCAAGTATTTCTAGTCTTGTTTTAAAAAATAACAAAAAGTATCAAGGGCCTGTTTCATTACTACTTTTAATTAAGACCTGCTGCAGCTAATGCAGAGACAGTTAATAGAGTGGGATTAATTTCCCTTGAGTGGAGCTTTCCATGCTTGCATGTGAAACCAGAGCGTAGACTCCCCATGCACCCAGCGCTGTTTAATTGCCTTTTATAAATATTACTAAATTCAGATTGAGTTGTATCTTCATTTATAACAGACAGTACCTCTTGGAAATGGAAGATAGGGAAGGAATTAGCCTGATAATTGATTAACAGGCTTAACACCAGAGCTAACTTTGTTTACCGTTTTAGACCTGAAGGATGCCTTCTTTTGCCTCCCTCTCCATGAAGCCAGACAGAAAATCTTTGCATTTGATTGGAAAAGCCCTAAGAGTGGGTGCAAAACACAGCTCACATGGACATGGTTGCCTCAGGGCTTTAAGAATTCACCCACCTTGTTCAGAGAGCAACTTGCAAAGGACTTGGAGACCTAGGAAGCCCCATCAGGAGAAGGAAGGCTGTTGCAGTACGTAGATGACCTCCTAATAGCTACCCAGACAGAAGAAGCATGTGTGGCCTGGACAGTAAGCCTCCTAAACTTTCTGGGAGTACAGGGTATCGAAGAAGAAGGCTCAGGTGGTAAAGCAGAAAGTGACCTACCTGGGTTATGAGGTTAGTGCCGGACAATGGGCCTTGGGGCAAGATCGTAAAGAAGCGATACGTCAAACCCTGAAACCCAAGACAATAAAAGAACTGCGAACTTTTTTGGGAATGATGGGGTGGTGCAGATTGTGGATCTATAATTACGGATTGCTTGTAAAACTGCTGTATGTGCTCATTGCAAATGGCACAAATGGACAAAGGAGGCCACGCGAGCCTTTGACCAGCTAAAGAAAGCTCTCATGTCAGCTCCAGCTCTGGGACTTCCAGATGTAAATAAATCATTCTTCCTCTTCTCCCAAGAGAAACGGGATTGCCTTGGGAATATTAGCACAGGACCTGGGCCCATATCGAAGGGCAGTTGCTTATTTTACTAAGCAGCTGGATGCTGCTGCCAAGGGATGGCTGGGATGCCTCAGAGCTGTTGCAGCAGTGGTGCTAAATATCCAGGAAGCGTGCAAGTTCACCTTGGGACAGAAAATAACTGTGCTAGTGTCTCACAGTGTCCCCAGTGCTGGAAGTGAAAGGAGGTCACTGGCTTTCCCCACAAAGGTTCCTGAAATCAGCAGAAACCAAGGGGAGCCAGTATACCATGACTGCCTGGAGACCACCAAGAGCTACCTACCTACTCCAGCTGTCCAGATCTGAAGGACACTCCTTTTGATGATGTGGAAATATGGGAGCAGCTACGTCATCAGCGGAAAACGACATGCTGGGTATGCAGTTACCACTTGCAAAGACGTAATAGAATCTGGAAAATAAACATCTATACGGACTCAATAATGAGTTTATTGGAAGCAGTTCAGCTGCCTGAAAAGGTAGCAATCATGCACATTAAGGCACACCAAAAGGTGAGCTCAGAATTGGAGGAAGGAAATGATCTGTCAGACAGAGAGGCAAAAGAAGCAGCAGAAGGTGAGGTGGCTACTGAGGGAGCCCTGATTCCAGACAGGCAAATTCCTCTTGAAGGTAAGCTTGTATATAACAAAAAGGATAGAAAATTAATCGAAAGTCAGAAGGGAAAATATAACCAAGAGGGATGGGCTGTTACCAAAGAAGGGAAGGGGAAGTCATCTCCTCCAATTTACTGTGGTCACTGGTAAAGGAAGTACAGTGGAAAACACATTGGGGAATACACGCTTTGTATAACTATCTAATTGGAAAAATTGTTGCCAGGAATTTATATGCTACCATTACTCAGATAACTTAACAATGTGATCTTTGTCTCCAGACTAATCCCAAAAACACCCCCAAACCAAAACTGGGTCAAATTGGAAAAGGCCATGGGCCCGGTCAACGGTGGCAAATTGACTTTTCTGAACTTCCAAGAAAAGGGGGGTGTCGATATTTACTGGTGTTAACAGATACCTTTTCAGGATGGCCAGAGGCTTTCCCCACTAGGACTGCCAAAGCCCGAGAGGTAACTAAGTCTCTTGTAGAAAAAAACTTTGAAAACACAGCAGGAAGGACTATACCAGGTGCTTCTTACTACCTTCACCGCAATTAAGATCAAGGAACAGAGTGCCTGAATTCACCTGGGTAACAGTGAATTGAAACTAAAGCTCAGTTGAGCAAAATGAGGACATTACAGTCAGGAGTATTTAGTAATATAACTTGCAGAAAATGTCATTAACAGAATTGTTTTATTTTTGTGGCTTATAGTCGTAATTGTGATTCAAGAATTGGAAGGTGCCTCTATGATAATAGAGGATGGTGAGTGGCCTTGGTCTGAAGCCGTAACAATGGAGGATAAGAGAATTAATGGAAAGTTAGTAGTTGTGGTTATGTGGTGAACAAATGGTGACCATTTATATACATTAACAGAATGGCAAAAATTAGGAGAAGAATGAACACACTAAAGAACCATAGGGGATGAAATTAAAATAGGGTGCCAGATAATTAACAGCCCCTACAGTCATCCTTATTGGCATTGGGAACTAGACAATGGCAAGTTTCAAAGGTGTTACCAAGATGGGAAAAGGCTGAAGACCAAGACTACAAACTAATAATAGATGCACTTAGTATGGTTCAAGATAATGTATCTTTGGCTCTTAGTTGTATGCAAGCACAGTTATGGTTGCAGGCAACAGCTGCCTTGATCATTAGGGAAGGAAGTGGAAGCATTTTTCCGGCGACTGTTTGGGACAATGCCAATGATTTTGAGAAGAAGTTCCAGTCTTGGTGGACTCTGGTAAATTTTACCTATGATCCCATTGTTAACATGGCTACTGCCTTTGTACTTATTATATGTAATGCTACAGTTTATGTTATCCACCCCATCATTGCACTAGGATTAAACCATGAGACAGTGCTCTATCGTTCGGAGCACAGAACATGGGCACGGATGGTGAATGGGAAATGGCAGTCTGTAAATCTAGAATCATGTGTTACCCAGGAACAACAAGGATTTGTGTGAAAGCAATACAATTGATGCTCAGGATATATGTCTTGACACTGAGCAAGGTGTTTGCCACTTTGAAATTCATCCAAATACTAGTCAAAAGACTGCTTGTATATTTTGGTCAAGGCTGTGTGTATTTAAGAACTGCTTGTGCTTTTGTAGAAGTAGATAAGGAAAACGTAACTCCCTAGCAAAAAATAAATAAATCAATAAATCATTCTAACTTTTGTATTTGTAACTTTTTTAGAATCGTCAGGTGTGACTTTATTTGGCACCAGTGGAGTAAAACAAGACACAAATCACAACTGCTGGGACACACTCTTTGGATGGTCATCAACTGCAACTGGGATTTTGAACACATTATGTCACCCAATTATTGTTTTATTTATATTAGTTGGTATAAGTTTAATATTGTCTTTTGTAATACTTGTTTGGAATTGGAAGTTGTTACAATGAATGGCGATATTAGCTTTCTTGATGAAAGTACATGGCAAGGCATTGAGGGATACATACCATAGAGATTGGGAAGAATTTTTGTATTAAGTTAAAGAATTTACTAGATTTTCCAGAAAAGGGGGGACTGAAATATGGGATTAGAAATTAGGGAGCAATTGATTAAGAATGAATATGTGCTATATTTGCAATGTACTGTGCCTGTGCTGCGCTTAGGCCTCCAGATAACAGGAGTCCCTCGGACCCCGAGAACCAGATCAAACCAACCTCATGGTTCAGACTTTGACCAAGGGCTCAGAGATGAGGAGGACTGTTCACAAAAGAACGAGATAAAGAATGTCAAACATACAAGGCCTCGAGATAACAGGAGCCCCTAAGACCCCGAGAACCAGACGAAACCAACCTTATGGCCCAGATTGTGACCAAGGCCTCAGAGAGCATGTGCAAAGAGATGAGGTGAAAAGTTCAACCCTGATGAAGACATCTTACTTCATCCCCACAACCCTCAGCGCCCACCACCACAGGCAAGTTGCTGCGTCAGGGGCGCACGACTTTGGTGGGACTACCCCCGTGCTGCCCAGCACTGAATAAACATACCTACTTTACAATCTTACTGATTGTGGAGTCAGTTTTCTGCAAGTCACATGTTCGATGTAGGTAACATGAGCCTGTCTGTCCTACCTTAAAACCTTGCGTCTATCCAAATAGCAGCCTTTCCATCATGCTTATACCTTGCTATTGCTAAATTTAAAACCAGGGTCTGTTTCAGGAGCATGTGGATTTAGTTAGGTCTTGGTTTTTACTTCCATATTAGCAGCAGAGGGAGCCCTAGTTCTACAACAGAGTATTTGTTGCATTATGCTATAAAGCAAAAACCACAATTGTTTTTTTGCTGAGCAGTATGTTCTCACAGATGAAGCTTTAATCTGCATAGTACATCTCTGTTGCTGTAAATTCATGCTCCGTTATACCACCATATGCTTTGATTCACTCAGAGAAAGCTGCAGTAATCCTAATACTAATACTACATCTATCTTTACAGATATTTGTGTTGGGTGTTTAGTTGCATATTGTTTGCTCACACACTTAAAGGTTATGTCTTAAGAAGTTGTTTTAAATGGGTTTATTAGCGTGAGCTGGCAGTTGATGAGTTTTTATGTTTTGAGAACGTATCATTGTAGTTATTGTCAATTACAATATGAGTTTCAGGAATCAAAAAAGGAAGGTATGGTTTGCTTTAAAAAATCTGGAGGCATTTAAAAAAATTGGAGGCAGATGCAACCCAGTGCTTTGAGTTGTATTTCATTTTTGTCTAGTCAGCTGCCTAGTTTCTTTTTCATCAGCTTGGAGATTATATATCAATACCTCTTCTGTAAGCTGAACAGTTGCATATGTGGAAGTATGAAGGAATAAATACAGGTTTTTCAAAACTGGCCAAGTTATTTTAAATTGTATGTAAGTGCCACTAGATATAAAACATACTGTGTAGAATATAAATGTTACAGATAGCTAACTACTATATACAATCTATATAATCACATATTGCTGTAATTATGTACTATAACATATAGATTAGATATGTTATACATACTACATATAATCTCTCTATGCAATATAAATATATTTGGAGCTACGAGTATTTTGTATATAATTAAAGAAAAAGATTTTAGGGATTTCTTTGGGTATGTACTGTTTTGAGTTACTTTAAGAGACATAATTTTCCAGTGATAACTGGGCTATTGAATGCTTCTAAACTAAATAATTATTGAAAATTTATGCTTTGTTGCTTGGACAATGAGGGCTTAAAAGATGAAAAACAGGATTCTGTTGTGGTAGTTAAACCACTTTGTGTGGCTACTATTTTGTCCTACCTGAAATATCAGGTCAAATTTCAAAGATATAAATGAATATCAGCAAATTCTATGGAGTTCAAATTCACATCGTCAGAAGGCAAGACTTTATTTCAGACACTGGAGGGCCCAAGAAACATATATTTTTTTTTCACAAGGTTTTGATCTCAATAAATAAATACTTCTCTTTCAGTAATGCTTACATTAGCTTTATAATTATCCTTAAAAATTACACCGTATAATAGTAACAAATGAATGGCAACAAATGAATAAGATAATAAACAAAACATTCTCTTTCCTCAAGCAATTGTAAATCAAATCAAATATCTACAGGTATGACAACACTGCAAAATCTGTGTAGTAATTCTGATTGGGAGATAAACTAGAATTCCTTGTTTAGTCATTTCTGAACTAAATTTTAACTATCTAATTAGTTGTTATGTGTGTGATCACATCATGCCCATTCCAAAGGAAAGCCATAGAAAATCTTTCTTTTAACTCACATTCTATAAGCACATTAAGGCTAATAAGAATTACTTGCAACTCAGCAATCTGAACAGGCAGTTGAGGAGTGGGCTCTAAATCAATAAATCCAGTCTTGAGAAACATTGTGCCCTGTTGAGGTCACAGGTTTACAAAGATATTTATGCAAAAATATAAAAGTACAAGAGAATAGTCCTGTAAATTGAATGACGTGGACATGTGAGTCAGAGATGTGCAATCTCAAACTATAAAAGGCAGGAATAAAAGAAAGGAAAAACATTATTCATTATGTTTATGTTAGATTTTGTATTACTTTTTTTTTTTTTTTTCCAGCTCTTGCATTCCTGAAACAATATACAGCAAATGTTTTGAAGGAATATAATCCATATGGTGACATCAAATCTGCAGAGCACACTGAAACTTCTTATATTATGCATGTAATTGTTTGATGCTGAAGCCTGTAAAATCCTTGAGAGTGTCCTAGAGAATTCAGTAGGAAGTGAATCAGGGCTTAAGTCCAACATCTGTAAAGTGCTTGAGTTCATGCCTGACTTTCAGCCTTTTGCAGTATTTCTTTACTTTAGGATTCTCACCCTTGCATTTGCTATGCTACAGAAGTGCCAATAGTTTCTGGAACCTGGCTGAAGTCATTCATGTGACTTTTAAGAAGCCATCTTTGATGGCTTATTTTTTTAAACATTATATATTTTTTTCATTATCATGAATTTAAAGCATAAATGCTTTGGGTTTTGGCCAAAGGCTTGTACCTTAGATTGTTCATTCTCTTTCTGGGTAAAGTGTCTGTGCTCATATGAGTCACGTGTTTTTAATGAGCTGGAGCACAGCAAAACCAATAAAACGCTGCATTATCAGCACATACATGAAGTGAGGGGAGGACTACAACTTCTTTTTCAACTTTTTGAATTGTAATCATATCATCATGTTCTTTCATAATAGTATTGGATGTATTGTAAAATTTCTGCAAGATGAATCGCTTATTTGTTGGCTTGATTCATGACAAATATTGACTATTGTCCTACTGTCCTTTCTTATGGACTTTTATTCATATAAATTCAGATTTCATATAAATGAAATTCATATAAATTCAGATTCAGGCTGCCCACATACGCTTCAGTAAGGATGCAGGCGTGGCAAGCTGGGTTCGTGGGAGCTGTGGCTAGCGTGCAGCTCCCTGCCGGACCCCCCGCGGGGCCGTGCCCGCAGGAGGGCGCCGCACGGTGCCGGCCCCACCCCCAGCCCCGTCCCGCGGCGCTGCCCCTCGGCCGGCCCGGCCCCGAGGGCGCGGCGATCGAATGCGGGGCCGCCCTCCCTCCTACCTCAGTCCCCGCGCGGCTGCCGGCACAACCTCGCAGCGCCTCAGTGCCCATCCGGCCGCCGGCATGGCCCGGCACGCAGCCGGCTGCCTGCTGCTGCTGTGCTGCGCTCTGCCGCTGGGCTCTGCTCGCGCCACCCCGCCGAGGACGCCGTCGTTCGGCGGGCGCGTGGCAGAGAACCGCCCGGCGGGCACGCGCGTGGAGGGGCTCAGCGTCCCCCTGACGCGCCTGGGCGCCCTGCCGTGGTGCGCCCAGGTGCGGGGCCGCCGCTGGCGCCTGCAGCTCCTGGGCGAAGGCCACGCGCACTTCCAGGCGGCGCTGCACGCCCGCACCGCCCGCGTCTGGCTGCGCACCCGCCGCCCGCTGGACCGGGAGGCGCGCCCGCTCTACTCCCTCCGCCTGGCCTTGCGCTGCACCCGCCGCTCCGCCGCGCCCGCCGAGCCGCTGGCCGCCCTCACCGTCCGCGTGCTGGACGCCAACGACAACGCCCCGCGCTTCGTCGGCGCCCGCCCCGCGCGACTCCGCCTGGACGAGACGCTGCCGCTCGGCTCCGCCGTGTGGCGGGCGCGCGCCGAGGACGCGGACGCGGACGCCAACGCCGAGCTGCGCTACTTCGCCCGCCCGCCCAGCGAGCACTTCTTCGTGGTGCCGCGTAGCGGGAGCGTGCTGCTCGTCCGCTCCCTGCTCCACCTGCGCGCCCCCATCCCGCTGCGTCTCTACGCGCGGGACCGCGGCCGCCCGGCGCTGCTCAGCGCCCCGCTCGAGCTCGAGGTGCTGCCGCAGGCCAAGCGTCTGCCCCCGGCGCCCGGCCCCGCCGACGGCCCTCAGCGCCGCCGCCGGACCCCGCCGTTGTCGCTGTCATCGCCGGTGCCCGAGGACGCCCGCCCCGGCCGTCCCCCGGGCCGCTTTGAGCCTGCGGCCCCGACCGTCGAGGAGTCGGCGCTGCCTGTGGAGACGCAGAGCGGCGTGGCGCGGCCGGCTGCCCGCCTGCACGGCGCCGGGACGGCCGGTGGAGAGCGCCTGGGGCGCTTCCCGGAGCGGCAAGATGGGTGCCGGGCCCCCGTCCCTGCAGTCAGCCCCTCTCTTGGTCACCAGCCTCGTGGTCCGCCTGCCGGTAGCGCTAAAGGTGCCCAGGACCGCAGTTTGAGGAGCAGGGACCCGCAGCTGTGTCGTGGCAGTTAGCAGAAATTAGCTGTTCAGCTCTTGAAGTTCTTTGTCGTTCATGAGCAGCATACAGCAAATTTATAGACAGTTAAATACCAGAGTGTTATTTGTGTCATACACGTGCTGAGGTGAAGCATGCCCTGCTGTTTACACCCGAGTGGCTTCCACTAAAATCCTTCCCAACCCTGTGTACGTTTGACTGGAAGCATGCAGCTGAAGTTGAGATTTGAGTCGGTGCTGAAGTTAGGCATGTCAGACTCACAGATACAATGTGAGTTTTTGCAACATTAGTGCCTTTGTATTTATATGGCAGCTCTTTTAAAACAAAATATCAGACAAGTCCCATGTGCACCATTGAAATGTCATGCTTCTGATTTAAATGCCATCAGCATTCGCAGGAGCTTACTCAAGTTAAATAGGATAGCTGATTTGATTTGTCTCTGACTGATTACATTTGTTATTTTTAAAACTTCTTTTTAGAAAAAAAAAAAAAAAGCATTGTCTTGGTTAATATTTTCCACCTATCAAAATGCAGCTAGTTTAAGCTTACTTTCAGTTCACTGGATGGTGAGTATCTCTATCCTTTCAGGTCTTTTTGTTGTTTTGTGTAACCGCAACTTTTGTTAATCACAGAGCCGCACAGGCAGGAGAGGTGGAAAGCTTCCCTCAGTAATCCTTTCCCTTATCTTTTTTGGTTTTCTAACTGAGGGGCAAGCCATAGGAGCAAGAGACAGTTCATTCCTTGGTGCCTATTAAATCCCAGAGGATGCCTGCAGGGATTCTAATTAGCGCTGGCAGTTTTCAGTGACACGGATGTATCTCCCTGTGAAGTGGGGCAAGATCACCAACTTGTTTCACTCAGGTCCTGAGCAACAGCTCTCAGATCTTGCTCTTGTTCATGTTTGACTTTTGTTATGCCTATCACCGTAGCATATGGATGTCAGTCCTTTGTACTGTGCTTGCATGGTGCTCTGGCTTGAGCTTTGGCTGCTAACCAGGAGGCTGATGGACTAATTTCCAGAATACAGATGCTTGCTATGTCCTCTCTTTGCTATTCAATCCTGAGCAACGCTGTACGCCAATGGGACTGTCATTACTCAGAGGCAGTGACAATATCTATCGGGTCAATCTGAGCATGCTTCTGGGCTTTTCTCCTTCTCTGTCATATAGCTCAAGTTTCATCCCTTTGTTGATGCCACAGCTCCCTCTGTCAGGATCAAGAAGATGTTAGAAAAGTGGTAGCTAACCTTGCCCCAGGTTACAACAAGTCTCACCTTTGTGACCATTTTCGCTCTCATCTAGTCGGAATATTGAAGTCTGAGATTGCCTGGAACAAGGCTTGTCACACTGTCATGCCAGAGATGTGTTTTCTGAAGCAAGGTTTGCTAACCCAGTTAAAAAAAAAAAAAAAAAAGACCAATAAACTTTAACTTCGTTTTAGGGATTTTTTTTCCCTCTGTCTTGAAGTTCTAGTAAATAGCTTGTGTTTTCCACTATCCTGATATATTACTGCTGGTAGGACCAACTATATAAATAATCTTTACAGAATATGTAGAAATGAGAGACTAGGTAGAGAGCAATTAATTGTACACAACATAAATATGGTGTTCTTTAGATGCTAGTGATTGTAAGTTTCTTTAAAGGAGCCTAAACTGAAAAATATGACATCATTAATAATAATTTTTTTGTTCAGATAATGGTTAACAATGATTTAACACCTTTAAAACTCAGGTTGCAGAATGCTTGCTTTCTCATTTTATAGGAGTTACAATACATAGATACTTGAAATGGATTCAGAATGCTGTGCCTCTTTCCTGAAAGATGACTAGCAGAACTAGAAGTTTCAATTAAACTGAAATAAGGACCGTGTACAAGATTGCAAAAGCTCGAGGAGAAGAAAAAAAAAAAAAGTGTTTACAGAAGTACAGAAGTGAATTTTCAGGGCAACTTCACTGCATATCTCTTCATGGATACTTGATATTTTGTAGACCTAGTTTTTAACATAGTTTATGTCTTTTTTGGAAGCAATATACCAAAGCAATATACCATACCATATCAAGCAGCAACAGGAAATCTGGACCTATTGTGTGAAGTGCCAATTTCCTATATGAGTTCTGCTGTACTTGCAGAGGAGGAGATACCATCTTGTTGCGTAGTTCAACTTCAGGTGAGTTCCTTATGTGAACTCTTAGAAGGCAGGCTTAAAATCTTGCAGAGGTTAGGGAATAAATAATCACAGATCAGTCAAGCCTGATAGATTTCATAGTTCGTGGCCTCTGCCCCACATCTCAGGAGCTGTGTTTAAGCAGCAGGGTTCCCTTCCCCTGCTGCACCAGGACACGGTGTGCTATACCTGGCCGTGTACCTTGCTGACCCTGATGCTGCCTTGCTGACTGGCTTTCCAGCTTGGCCTCAGATGCACCTCATCGCTGCACTCTTGTCTGGTGATGGCTGAACTGCTGGGTGAAGCAGATTCACATCACAGGACCTGTTTGGCTCTTCTTGCTCAGTGACATTGAGGTCCGTGCCTGACTTGCTGTCACTCTGTACACCTGATCCACCTTCAACAGGCAGAGCAGCCTGTCCTTGCTGCTCCTTAGCAGTTGAATTCTGCAACTTCAGCAGCAGCGTACATACAGTTACATAAAATATTTTCTCTACCTTGAGAAATATTTTCTCTGCCTTGAGAGCTTAAATTGCTTTGTATAGATGCTGGACAGGAATGGGAATGTAATCTTAGGAGAGCTGAAGCCACTAATCTGAAATTAAAATATGAACCAACAGTATTTACATTTTTCATACCTTACAAATATGTTGTTAAAATACAAACAAAACCAACACCAGGAAAACCAAACACCAGGAAAACTTGTACATAAGTTTGCGCAACCAGATGCTAAACAGAATTCCTAAATTTCAGGGCTTGACTTCCTGAGCAATTTTTTTGGTATGTGGTCCTCGATGAGGGCATTCCTCTTGTTGACCCCACTGCTCATCCATCCCTGAGCCATGTTCTTCAGTTAACCTTTCCTGGAAGAAGTGATGGTTATGCTCATGTTTTCTGGAGCATTTCATTTTTTATTCCATATCAATTATTAGGGCACAAATAATTTATTTAGTCTTCACCGAAGCATAATACTGTTTTAAGTTTTTACTCGGTAGATAGAAGGTATAATACCTTAGATTGTTATGCACATTAATATTTTAACATTGAGTTAACATCTAATTTGAGAAGGAGCCATTTTTATTTCATTAATGCTTGGAGGAAGTGCATGAAAGATCTCATCTCTCTAATCATCTGTCATCTCAAGCTCCTTTGACCTTGCTTCATCCACAGGCATTAGCCGTGTAATCCCCTGTCATTCATTTTTTCTTACCAGAGGATTTACTGAGGGTGATGTTTGGCATGCCTTCCCAGTAGTTAACAGCGGTCACTTATATTTGTCTCATTTAAATCAACATACAGAGTGGAGGTACCAACAATTTAAGTGATGGGTATATTTTAAACCTTGAAGGTTTTCATCTTTGGAAACTGAGGATGGTCTGTTTTAATTCTATCTGCAGCCTTAGTCCCCTACTAGCAGTATCAATTTTCTCTGGATCATCCCTAAGTACTAAGTAACTCCTGGTGGATCTTTTTCTTCTACGATTCTTACTACCTTTTCTTTTATGAATTATTTTGACAGTTATACATCAAGCAGGGCTTAAGCTGAAATCATCATCTATCATCTGGCAGATGTGTTTCTTTAACCCACAACAGGTTTCATGCTTTGCAGTTGAAAGAAAATGTATGTTCTGTCTGCATTTGGCATAACTGTGGGTGTTTACAGTTTTGGAATGTTACTCATTTGTGGTAGAACGGAATATCTCAGGAAGCTTCAAAGCATCATTTTGATGTTTATTCAGTCTGAACATTTTGAAGCTATGTACCTTCTTATGGCAAGCAGTCAGATTAAAAATATCTTTATGAGACTACTGGGATTTGAGTGCTGAAGCTGTTTAGCTCTTCTGGCTGTTCTGTTTATCATCTCAAACATTTAGTTTCTACAAAAGTAATAAGCTTTTTTTTTTTTTAAAGTTCTAACTGAATTTCAGTTACACAAATATGTTAATCTGAGGGAAGCAGTAAATTATAGAGCATATGAAAAGAATCTTTCTTAAAGCTGGTTTCTAGCATAACATACTGGATATTGATTCCATGACTGACATAGCAATTATGTTACAGTTTATTTGATTATGAAATAGTTTTAATTCAGTTTCTGCTGACCTTTCCTTTTACAGTTAGTCTCAGAAGTGATACCCCCAAATTTGTAAAAAGACTGTCTCAAAACTTTTTTAGTATTTTCAAGTTTAGATTTTAGAATAAAAAAGGCTGAGACTTATCTCATAGTGTGGTGGTTTTACTGTGCTAGCCAGCTGAACACCACAACTGTTCTCTCAGTCCCCCTTCTTAGAAGATGAAGGGAAGTAAAGCAAAGAACAACTCATAGGCTGAGATAAGGATAATTTAATTAAAGGGAAAAAATATTAAGGAAAGATTATTATTAATTAAACAATTTATTTAACTAAAGGGAAAAAAGGGAAAGGGAAAAAGAGAGCGGGAAAGAGAAAAAAACAAAACAAAACAAGTAAAGGCTATGTGGAAGTACAGAGGAAAGAAATTACTCTCTGCTTCCCACAAATGAGCGATGCTTGACCATGTCCTTGAAGCAGGGCCTCAACGCACATAGCCAGTGTTCAGGAGGACAGACGTTTTCACAACGAGAGCCCACCCCTCCTCTCTTTTTCATGTTTCCACTTTTTATTGCTGAGTGTGACATCATATGGTATGGAATATCCCTTTGGTTGGTTTAGGTCAGCTGCCCTGGTGATGTTTCTTTCTATTTTTTTGCCCACCCCCTAGGAGGGTTAGAGAGTCCTGATGCTGTGCCAGCACTGCTTAGCAGCAGACACAACACTGGTGTGATAACACTGCTGTTCTAGCTACAAGTGCAGAGCACAGCACTGTATGGGCTGCTGCAGGGAAAGTTAACATCCCAGCCAGACCCAGTACACATAGTAAATTTTCCTTTGACTTCCAAATGTTTGGCTGTAAACAGGAAACAAATTCAGTGTTCGGAACTCTTTTGGTTCACTTAATAATATAGAGTATTCAGGCATGTACTCCACTTTTTTTTTTTTTCCTTATTCTGATAAGAGGTCATAATTCCTTACTAGGAATTAGATGGTTAATCTTATGCATATAAAGAAATTCTACACCGTTAGATGGGAATTGCATATGAAAATATTAGATTTGAGAAAGCTGTTCTATTTGGTTTGACTGTTTGAAGATATTTGAAGATACATAGTGTGGCCTACAACACTTCCATACAGGGTGTAACAGTAGCTATTAATACATTATGCTATGGAGGTATTTCACAGTTTCAGGTTTGCTGCCGTTTTTTTAGAGGTGCAGGGTTTCCTGCAAGATGAGCCAACTCAACGTTCCTAGCCCATTTTCAAGGCTAAGAATTTGGGAAAATGGCTGGTGGAAGAAGGTGTATGTGACTGTGGTGGTGGAGGCTATGGTGAAGAGTCCACCTGAAGGCTGTCCAGGAGAGAGCAGGACTGGGTGACAGACCAGATAAGAAAGAACGGGTGCTGATTAGGTGAGGGGTTTTGGGTGTAGAAAAGTGGTACTGGGAATGGATGGTCAGGGCTATGAGGGAACCTAAGAACAGAGCAGGAAATCTGGGGGAACAGAGTGGAGGGCAGATGGAGGGAACTGGAATAAGTGTTAAGGAAGGGCCAGCTTTGGGATAAGGACAGTTGGGGGTGGTAGAGCAGAAGAGAGTTGAAAGAGATAGGAAGGCTTTGTATATGTGACAGCTTACTCCTCATCATAGCTTGTAATGGAACCTGAGATTCTTCAGTCTTTCTTCTGTGATGCCAATAAATGTTTGTGAAGTCTCACAGTGAAGTATCCTTTCTCCCTGGAATAACAGTGCACTGAGAAAGTATCACTTTATTGCACTTCCTTAGCTCTAGTGAGAGGAGTTTTCACATCAGTGGTATGAATTGGCTCGGTTTACTGATGATACATGTAAATTTTGATACAGGATATGCTATGATAATCTTTCTCTTTTTTATTATTATTTTTTCTTAAAGTTTAAATTAATCAAGTTTTCCTGTTTTTCATGTATGCAGATCAGGTAATGCTAGTTCAAATGATTTTCCGTGATGCAGAAGTACAGCAGCTGGGCTTGTAAGGCTGCTGATTTCAGTGGCATTTTTTTTCTTGCACATGTTGGGCTACAAAGAACCAAGCCAGATATTTTCCCCAAAATTTAAACAAAACTTCAAGAGATTTTCCCGTTTACTAGTCCAGTAGCTGTTACCTGTTAAGCAAAGTCCTCTCATTATAATGCTTTTTGGTAATCAGTTGCCATTAATTAAGACACATGATTTGTTATCTAAGGATGTCTGTTGTGATTATAATTTCTTTCACATCTGGGCATGCTTGGTTTTTCTGCCTGCTGCTGTCAGCAGATGGATACCGCATTGGGATGTCCCTGATAAAATGGTTATCATTTTACTCTCTTTTAACTGGTAATTTATGTTAAGATCCACCCTGCCATGGTCATGTATCTCTGACTCTTTCTTTACTTTTGTTTTCTGGTTCATTTTTTTATGGTTTAACTTCTATGTTGAAAGCCAGATGAGGATAAGGACATGACAGACTGTCATTATGCAATCTACAAAAAAGATGAGGCATATTAGAAGGGAATGTGGGCTGTCCACAGATTGAGCCCATCAAAGTTATCTGTTTAGAAGGTTTATATTTTATAAATGAGCAAGCTACTGTACTTAAAAGTGGCCTGTCATATACTTCATGAATTTTCCAAAATGACAGTAGAGAAATGTTTCTACATTATTGCTCTTTTTTTTTTTCCTTTTTTTTTTTTTTTTTTTTTTTTGTTCAATCATACTGTATGGTATGATTGGGTACAATAACCAGTAGCTTTTATCTCATGGTGTGGCATGAAAATGGGAACAGAGATTTCTCCTGATTGCAGCTAGAGGCTTAGGACACTAAGAATTTTTCTGGAAATGTATCTTCCCAAATTTGAAGTCAGCAGATAATTTACATGAAGAAATATTGTGAGAATGACAAATTGACTCTAATAGGGAATTAATCAGCTAAAGCATGAGAAACCTCTGGATTCTGGATTATAATTTTACTGTTTTGGGTTTTATTTATTTTAATACATAAACTCAAAAGAGTTTATGATATTGCAAAGTTTTTTATGATATTGCTGAGTTTTGATATTGCAAAAGGGCCAATAAGTGGTGTTTGCAAATGTATTGAAAAAGCAATCTGCTCACATAACCTGTTTTCATTAGTTTCAGTAGGGAAGAAAAATAGAGGGAAAAATATTTTTGATCAGATAAAAAGGTGATTTTATCATTTTGAATATGAAGCAATATTTTCAGTATAACTTCTAAAAAATTTTAAGTGTTACAGTGTTATGTAATTGTCATCATTTGCAGCAGGAGGCACCTCGAATTTTATCTCTTGTTGCCCATTATATGAAGAAGCAATTATTTTTTTTTCTGTATTCTGAAGCTAGGGAAAAAAACCTGTCAAATGCAAAATCTGCTTGTGTGCCAATATAATCAGCAGAACTAAAGGAGGATTCTTTGAAAGAATGAAATTGTGTAAGATATCTTCAGCGTGCCTGGCTTGAAAATCAAGTATCCCGTATTTAATATTGAGAAGTTCTTACTGTCAGTGTGTTACAGAACAGTTTGACAAATCTTTTATGGATAATTAGGCCTTTGTCAGATTCCTCATGGGGATCTCAGTAGTGGGTTGGAGTAGTGGGTTGGATCTCACTGTAGTGGGACTTACACTGCTGAACGTGGTTGTAGGTTTGCATACTTGCTGTCAGGGCCTGGTATTCTGAACTGATAATTTAAGTAGAACCTGTTTGTGTGCTTGTAGGACTTAATCCAGAGGATTACCAGTTTTAAGCTGTTTCTGCTAAGATTTTGAGTGGAATTGTAACTTATTCTGTCCCCCACAGTGTAGTACTACCAATTAATTACTATTAACCATAATATTCTAGTGCAGATGTAATGCAATAATTCAGTACTACTGTTAATATGCTAATGTACATGTATAATTAGTATAGCTGTTGGGTAATTATTGGGGATGGTGATATGTGTTTTGATGGAAGGCAGCATTGAGACACCTTAAACTATCAAGTGAGGTACTGTTGGAAAATTCTCTTCCTTCCACTATCTTTGAAGCACAAATAGTGTTCATAAAGGATAGTGTCTAACCATAAAATGGGAGAAAATGAATTTCATGTACCATATTAAAAATAGTTAAAGGTCTGTCTTAAGCTCCATTCTGTAGAAAATCAACTATTTTGTGGGAAAATGTCTATGTTAGTTAAAAAAGATGACAGTTACAAGACACTGCATTTTGTAATGTATATGTCATGACAATTATAACAAATGAAATGCTGTAGTCATTAAGAGTCTGAAGTTATCCTTGAAACAAATCACATTCATGTACTTATACTTTGGAATTCTTAATGTTTTGTCCTCCTTTAAATACTTATATTACACATGTCAGTCTCTTCATCACATTTGTTGTCCTCTGGTAAGTCCTTGTCTGATCATGCTTCATTGGACACCCTGATGTTGTTTCTAGAAGATGTCAGGTTGCATTTGTAGGTCTCTCTGCAGAAAAGAACAGTCCTGTGCAGTTCTGTTACAGTTCTTGCTTTAATATATGGTATGCAGTCAAGGGAACACTTACATATAGTCATTTTCCTCTGGTCTGCCTTTATCTGAAAGTGAAATCATGTCTAATCTTGATGATTTATTTAGTATTTTTGCTTGACAATCAGATTGCCTATGATTGATGGAGAAAAATAACATACCAGTAAGACCTGCAAGGTCATATGCAGTGGATACTTATACTGGTCAAGAGAGGCAATTATGCCCATCTGTCTGATGGTGTGCATGGTGGTTCATGCACTATCCTAATGAGATTCTTAAGAATATTCAGATGTTTCAGAAGTAGCCAACACATTGCTGAAAGCTTTGATCTTGCCAAGATGTCAAATTACATTAAGGTCTCTTAACTATTAAAACACAGGTACTTGGAGGAACTTTTCCAAGTCCTTTCAGTTTCTGATTAATAAAGCTTATTAGTTCATTAGAGGATTAATCTCAGTCTTGATGCAGTTTTCCACGGTATTTCCGCAGTATTGCAAGAGGTATTTCCCAGTTATAATTAGGTACTAAGAACCAGCTTATTAATGTTCAGTGATGTGGCAACCACGACAAGAGTGGATTTTGTATCCAGGTTTGTTCAATTCAAAACAGTTAGTTAATTTTCAGTAGTGACTTAAATTTTGGTAGATGAATACATGCATGTTAAGAACATCAGCAGAACTTGAAATCAAGTCAGTTCACTTGTTTATTAGGATACTGATTTCCAGACTCCAGAAAGACAAAAATTGGTAACCTTTCTACTCCTGATTATGTTACCAAGGTGGCACTCAAATCCTCAGTAGGTCTTTCTGTTTTGGAGGCACATTTTCAGAGGTTTTTTACTCAGCTTCTAATTTAGTGCTTGCTATCATAAACCTGCAGTGTGCCCTGGCAAACCAAGCCAATAGTGGATGTTGATAAACATGTGACAGCTTCTTTAAGACCTGTTCTTTTGAGAAAAGTCAGACAATTTTGACACTAACTTCTCCCCTTTACACTTAAGTCTTTTTGGAAAACCTGTTAATTAAAGTCTTCAGAACATTCAAGCAGACATTGATCTGCTTCTGATTTGGTACTTCTTATATCGAACTCTTCTTGTTCTGAGTTGTGGTATATTTCACCCTCAGACGCAGATCAACGAAGAACAAATTTTCACCTTTGCATTTTCTTTAGGTTTCTCAGACTGCTTGTCATGGGATTGATGGAAAACACCTTCTGAAACATGTCTCTTTGAAACACATCTGGTTTTATTTACTAGGGTAGTCAGAAGGAATATCCGTACTGCTGCATTTTACATCCTCATTTTTGAATCCTTTTTTATGTTCCTTCTGGCTTCTTGTATGATAAACATTTCAGCAGCATCTGCAAGCAGAGGAGGAAGTATGCAACTGCTTTCATTGAGTCTTTCTAAACGTTGAAGAGACATATCTGAGTACCCTGTGATGTCAGTAGGCTCACCTCATGGTCAGTCTCTTTTTGTGATGAGGTAATCTCAACATATCTTTGGAAATGTGGGCTTCATGTACAATGTTATATGCTAGAGAAGTCAAGCTGCTCATCCTTACACCAGGACTTTCAACACTTTTGGCTCTGCAGTTTATTTCAGAGTCTAGAAGATGTGTAAGATTGGCTGCATATTGTAACTGGATTTTTTTTTTTTTGGTGAAAATGTAAAAAGGGGAGTTGTATGTATTCATAGCCTATGGTGATGCAAGAAATGTTTCAGGTTCTCTTTCAGGAAACTGTTTGTTTCGGTGACTTACTGTTCCTTAATTCAGAAGCTTGTTTTTGCTGTAGCCTCTGCTTTTATATACGTGTCATCTTAAACTAACATTAATTCGCTGTAACATTAGATTCTGAGTACAGGATATAATCATAAAGAAATTCATTTGAATTTAACAAGTTACCATCAATTCAGTTTCTATGCTAGAATTTAGATGAATGAATGCAGTTTTACAAGTGTAATGGAGAAGAACTTCTGTGGTTGTCTTGGGTGAGTGCTGATTTTTATACTAAGACAGTTTTCTTGGTAAGAACAGAAAGTTCTCAGAGGTCATGATGGATTAAGTTTGTGGAAGCTGAACTAAGAAACTTGTATTTGACATTGTTAATCACTGCACCAAGGAGTTTTCTTTACGACAATCCACTTACTGGTTGTTTATAGACTGCAGATTATGATAAGGTGTGCTAAATATGCCACTTGCTATCAGACAGGTTACTAATTATGAAAAGCTGAGTCTTCCAAGTGGTAGACACAAAAGGTGCGTTACTACTGCTGCAGAAGTTAAGGGATAACATCAGTAAATGCATACATCTGGTGTAAGTAATAAAAAAAAATTAAAAGTTTAAAAAAAAAATTTAGATGGAACATTGGTGTGCTTTGGGGAGAGATGTAATGCTGCAATTAGGAAAGAAGAGGGGGAGAGTACAGTCTTTCAACCCAAGTGGCAAACCTTCCTGGAATAATATTCCTCCCTAGCAAGATAACAACATTTACAAGATTAGACCCTTTGGTAACACTGTATTTAGTCTTAAATACTTTGTATTGTTAATTAAAATTAAATTAAAACTGAGAATTTTAGTTGTTCCACTCTGTACTTACAGGTATGTTGTTTCAGTTCTTGTAAAGCCATTTTGAAGATGTGTGTGTGTGTAGATGCTTATATGTATGTATATACATGTATAATAAATACAGAGGGAAATAAAATATTAACACCATCATCTTAAAAAATTCTGAGTTTTCATCCATTATTAAACTTGTGGATAAACCATTTTGTAAATGTAGACAGCTGTTCTTGCACAGGCCATATTCCCTTTCAATTCTCCAGGCTTGTTAGCTTGGGCATAGTGCCATGTCCATGCAGCTGTAATGCTTTCAGAGTCAGATTGGGTGTGAGCTCACTGCTTTTCTGAAACCAGGAGCATTAAACATGGATGGCAGGAACACTCAAGTTGGCCTCTGTAATGTGGCTTTCTACAAGTACGGTGCCAGTCCACTTGCAGCCAAACTGGCCAAAAGGCCTACATCTCTTTATACTGTGCTCTTTGGTCTTACTGGTAAATAAAATGTCATCAGTTACATAAAAAAATAAATAAATAAATAAATAAGTCTTTAAGTCTTTGTCATAGTCTTATCATAGTTTCATAGTTTTATGTCTTCCCAGGAAGTTGCTTCAGAATCTGAGCTAGCTGTGTGTATTTAGAAGAAATATTTACCAGTTGGAAGCATATGCAAGCTGATTAAGGAGTGCAGAGACAAAAAGGCTTTCTGTCTGCAGCAGCATTTTGCTTTCTTTGACACTGAAGATTTTAGTCAATGCTTTTGTCTTTTATTTAGAAACATTTTTCACCCAGGGTGAAGTCTCATTTTTCAACCAGGGTTTGTTTCTACTTTTTCCTCTTTTAACTTAATGCTTGGAGACATCAGAACATTTTCTTTGATCTGACATTTTTCATTTTTGTTACTTTTTCAATGATACCTGCCTTCTATTTATTACTTGTGCAGGAACTCTGCTGCCCGCACTGGTTGGTTTAATAATGGAAGCAGCATAACAAGTACTTTTCCATTAATTTTTAAGGATATTCTGTTTCTGATTTCTGGATAATTGAATAGTTCCATTCTCTGATGGATTTTTTTTAAACAGCATTTAATTTTTAATAGAAGTGAAAACCATATTAAGACTTAAGTGAACTTTCCATCTAGGAAATTCATTACTTAGGGTAGATTGGTTAGAATCTTTTTGACAGCAAAAATTTAATTACTTTCAATGTTCAGAATTGTTGTAATCATTGAATATACAAAACAATATTTTTTTTTTCTTCCAGCAAAGTGCTTTCAGGAAACATGTATTTAGCCTTTGAAAATTTAAGAATGTGTGATCTTTCCTAAAAAGAGATATTGGTAGGAAGTAGTATGGGGTGGCCCTGGTGTTGCAGTTTGGCAGTACTTGTGCTGGTTATTTTATTTTATTTTTTTCCGTTGTATCTGGATGCTGTTGGTTGTAGGAGAAGAGCCAAAGAAGTCTTTCTGAATTAAATGCCAACCATATTGCAGACAGTACACCCTCCGGAGTTGATATGTGTTTGCTACTTTGAGTACCATTAAATAGCTAAATATTTATTCATTTTTCTTACTATTAGGAAAACATCAGTACTTGTTGCACTTATTTGCACTTACTGCGGAAGATGCAAACGACAATGTACCTGAATGGGCCATGGAGCCCTTCCCGTTCTTAGCCGTGGTTTCTCCTCAAGCTGCCAAAGGTACTCAAGTATACAAGCTGCTTGCGGTGGATGCAGATGAAGGGACCCATGGAACTGTAGAATACTTTCTCTTGGAAGGTAAACTTAAATCTCTTTGTTACAGTTGTATGAAACTTCACTATTAGCTTCACTAATTTTTTTTTTTGTCTCTTATCCTCAGTTTCTTTAGTGGAAAATCTTCCTTTGCTACTCAAAAAGATTCATAAGCCTTTGGCTTTGTGTGTGAAAAAAATAAACTTTTAGTGAGCGTATGGACAGATTGGCCAGATCGGAAGTGAGTTCTCTCTGTAAAGTTGTGTTCCTGCCCAGATTATTGCCCACAGGGGTAGTGGTGACTGGAGTGGTACTGGGCTGCAGGGCTTTGCGAGGGGATGGCAAAGGGAGCCATAATCAGCACCTTTCTGCTGCACTGACTCTTTATTGGAAAGGACGCTACCTGAAGCAGAGTTTGTTGGGTGGAGGAAGCTAATGTTCCTTCTCCTTTGCAGGAGTTGTGCTTCTGGATCATTCCAAACAAATCTGTAAGGGTATGGTTTATGTCTTATTTTTGCACAGCTACTTGTTGACTTGCTGATGATTTTCTTTGTTGAGGCTCTTAAAATAAACTTCAATAACAATTCAAAACTGTCTAAGCAGAAAGGGAGTGGTGATGTACTCCAAAGGTGAATCTGTTCTTCTTGACCAGGACCCTAACAGAGTTTTCTGCTAAGGGACAGGTAGGGGTGAAATAACAGCAAAGTACTGGAGGATGAAGAAGAATAATAATTGCCCAGGAAAGTAAAATGAGATTAGAAATGCGATCACTGATGTAGTTAGTGAGTTCAAAACAAACTCTTGATATTTTTGTGTGCTTGTCAATTCTAAAAGAAAACCACTTCAGGAATTGATACCCTATTTTCTTCTCTGTTTTACTTAAGTAAAAGTGTTCTTGCTGACAGCAGTTTGTGGATCTGTCTTCTTAGGTGGAGAAGCCAGATTTGAAGTCGAGAGGAACACAGGCTGGATTAAAACAACAGGTTTGCCATTGGCGAGGAGCAAGGAGTATTTACTGACTGTACTGGCAGCAGATAAACTTGGAAACAAAGGGTCTCCAGCCTCTGTTTCTATAATTGCTGGATTTCGACCACCGCAGTTCAGCAACATGTCATACTTTGTTCACGTTCCTGAAAGTATGCCACAAGGAAAATCGTAAGTAACAGTAACAAATAATGCAGTGGGATTGTATTCTTAGTTTAATTTCTTTATGATCTCTCCAAAGCCTCAGTACTGTTTATGAATCGTAAATAGCTATTTAGATATCTTAATTAAAGTGATAAATATAATTTGATCGATGCATTCTTAGTATAGTGGAATATCTAATGTATTCTTTCTTTTTTTATAAAGAAAAGTGGTAATGAATAATTATAATTTCATGCTTTTTAAATGATACCAAAAGTATTATCTGATGATGATTGTGTCCTAATTTTCAAAGAAAATACAAATCAGAACCATTACATCATAAAGAAAGATACCTTGTGTAAACTCATGTATGAGTTCTCTGTGTCAACATTTAAAAAGTGCCTTCTCCACCAAGTGAATATTGGGGTAGGGGGAAGAGGGGAGACTGTCTTTGCTGTCTTCGTTAATCACAGTGACAAACTGAGCAAAAATGAAGATGCCGCAAAAGTTGTCATTTTACTTTTCCATCCTTTGTCTAACCATGTGGATCTAAATATCACGGAAAATGTTAGTAACATAGGTCTACCTGAATACTCAGTTCTGTCTTTCACAAATTGTTTTGGTTTTAGGGCAGACATTTCCTTTTCCACAAATCAAGAATACTTTTGTCCAGTAAATGTCTTCCTTGTGTGGCCTTTCAACTGTTATTTAATGCTATGTTATCTGTAGTATTCTGTTTTACTGTTGAGTCTACAACAAACAATTTTACAGTGTCTGAGGTTTGTTAAGATAAAAAAAAATCAGCAGCTGTTAATAGTAAATAAGTTTGTTTGTTTATTGGTTTTTCTTTTTTTTCTTTAAAACTACAATGAACTTATTTAGCACAGGTATAAAAGAAATTAAAGAACCGTGGAATGCTACAATACCTAACTGGTATTGCTATATTGGATTCAATAATGTTTAGGAAGAAAAATAGTGTAATTTTTTGTAAATGTTTTTTGTCACTATTTAAAAATATATTTGCACCATTACAGTGATAGTAGATTAATCAGTTTGTCAAGTTACATGGTAATATCCAAAAGGAATTAAATATTTCGTATGGTTGTTACTATGCCATAAGAGGCTTGAATATAAACAGTGTGCCCAGCAAAAGTGATTTACTGTTGTGTGTTAACCTGTGTGTGGTCCTGAAAATTAATGCAGAATCCTGAAATTCTGATATTCATATTAGACCAGCTGCAGGAAAACAGTCGCTGGATTTCTGGGGTAAGGATTTCACAATTGTAGGTAGATTTAAAACTGCTGCTGACAAGAAGTGTTACCAAGTCTTTCTTTTCCTTTCATCTGGCATTGGCTCTAGTACGCTAGCTGCGTTGGCAGGCTGATCCAATGAAAGACAAAGCAAAAAAAAAAAAAATTCAGTTGAGTTGTTAAATGTGTTCACAGGAGGGCCTCGTGATTGTTTGTGGTGACAGAAGGAGAGGAGAGGTGGCATGAACGTGCAGCTGGGGTAGGGAGTTAGAAAGAGGGCAAAGTATTTCCTGTTGGCAGGAACACTGACTTGTGCTGGCTTAAACTGACTGTGAGACCATATCACAGAAAAATAAGGAAAAAGAATAAAGCAAGATAATGACCTACAGCAACCTTTTGCAGTATTTTTTTTTTCAGTGTTGCACCTGAGGGAAGCTAGAAGACAGCAGCATGAGAATAATAAAAGGAAAAGAAGTGTTCAGACAAACTGAGTTTTGTCTTTTTGAATGCAGTTGTCACTGGATCTTAGGTGTTATTGGGTTCTCCTGGGAAGTAGAATCTTTTCTCCTAAGAAGTCTTCATGATAAGACAACAAACATTAGAGGAATTCGTATTCTGTTTTAAACCCTTAAAATTATTGTTTTATAACTCATTTCTTTTACTTCATTCTGCAAATACTTTTCCTACTTGAAGCACTTTCATGGGAAAAAAGTGCCAGATGAGCTAAAAAAAAAATAATATGTCCTGGTATACGCTGTTACATGCACACTGCTAGTGACTGGCTTTTTTCCTTTTGCAGGTATCTGAAACTTTAGAACAGTATGCTGAACTGTATTATGCTGTTAGTAAAAGGAATCTTCTGTAGTTTATTTTATCTTTTAGTTTCCTTCCTGAAAATCATCACCACCTTAAAAGAAAATTAGAGTAAGCAAATTCAGTTGCAACAAAAAATAAATCTTCTATTTCTGTGTTTTTAATCTTCTATTTCTGTGTTCTGCTTCCAAAAATCTTTTTCTGTTTAACTTCAAGATGATAAAAATACAGTATAGAAAAAATATTTGAATGGAGTTTAGTATAGCTATCATTGACTTTGGTGGATACTGCTCTAATCAGACCTACAGGCTTGCACCTTCAGCTCTGTTGTGTAGCATTTTTTGCCTTATTTTTTATTATGTTGTATTACATGCTTGAGACCTTTTTTTTTTTATATTACTTAATTTTTATGCAGCTTTCTTCGAGTCACTGCTATATCATATCAAAACAAATCCCTGAACTACAGTTTGCTAACTAATCCAAGTGGTCTGTTCAGCATTGGTCAGTCAACAGGGGATATCAGCTTAACTCGGAATGTGGATTATGAGAGTGACCAACACCAGTATCTTCTGTTGGTCAGAGCAGAGGAAAACGAGGAACAGCTCAGTAGCGCAGCTCAGGTAGGTGTTCACTTCTGCCATTCGGTATGTATTTGCATTTTTCTTGAGTCTTCACAAATATCTGCACAGATTCATGAGGAGCTGTCATTTCTCCAGCTCATACTATATATTCTGTTGTTAATTTTAAAAGTCTTTTTTAACTCTATAGACTAGGAGAGCTGGTTTAGGTACTATTGTGTAGAGCTCATTTTTGCTGATCCTGAAAAAGCTGTTGCTTAGGGATTGATAATACCATCCCATCATAGGGCCAACGTCTTTATCCAAAAAGATGGGAGTAGATGCAGCCAAGGCTAACATGCAGTTTTGTTTTACTCTCAGCCTTCATAAATGATGCATATTTGTGATTACTCCAATTTAAAACAAAGGCAAAACAGAAAACATGAAGACAATTGCTAGTTTTGTTTCAAGAACACAAACTGAACTTGTAAAGACAGGAGGTAGTAAGTCATAGATGTTGAAAGATGATAGTTCATGATATTTTAGAAAGCTGTTTGACAGGAGAAAATATTTCTAAATACAGCTATTACAGTTGTGTGAATTCAAAGATTTGCCAAGCTTGGAAATGCATGTAATATAACAGTTTGTTCCTGCTGTGGGAAATAAGATGTACGCGGTAGAAGGAATGGGAGGTAGAATTATTAGGAACAGGTGAGAGGACAGAGTACAACAGTGTTAAAAACAGTGACTGTAGCACACCAGAGATTGATAATTTCTCTTGACCCTTTTAGGTACCACAAGATGAAGAATGACAGAATAAGACTTGAAAGAGGATTCTAAGATGATTTTATAAATACATTTGGCCTAAATGTAGTTTTATATGCTTTACATCAATACTTCAGCAGTCCTGAGAGGGCAACTTTCATTTTGTACTAACATAAGTAAGAGTAGAGTGAGTATAAGGCTACCTATTGCATTGTGAGCCAGCTTCAGACTTCAGCATGAACTGTGGCAGTATGAACTGCTGTAAAGGCTAATTTAACACACTCCTTACTGCTTGGATTGTCAACGGTGCAACAGTGGGCTCTCATTTGACACAGAAATAAGAAAACATTTTTAATGGTGTTAGAAGCAGAATTGTATTTCTTACTTGTCTTAACATGAACAGTTACTTTTATCTACTTCTGATTTACACTGCTGCAATTGAATTCCGAACTTTGTCTTGGAGATTTGTACTGCTAGAAAGTGATATGCTTGGCAATAGAATTTTTAGTATGAAAAATAACAGAAGTGTGGGAAGATAAGATAATGGCAAAAGAATGCTTTGAAAGCAGACAGTCCATTTCTCTTTAAATTAATAATAGGAAATAATCAAAGGAGGTGAAAGAAAAATAGAAAATGTTGATGTAGGTAGCCTGACAATTCCAAATGTTTTAGAATTTAATATTTAAGCAATTCTCAGCAGGAAAAGAACAACCTAAGTTTATTTTTTGTTTTTTTTTTTTCCTATGTGCTACAGCTTCCAAAGACTTCAACAATAATGTTTTGGTTTGGTTTGGTTTGTTTTACAAATTCTTCCATTCACTATTTCTAGAGCAATGAAGTCATTGCCTTGATTCACTTTGATGCCATTTAACACTCTCTTGATTTCTGTTCAGGTTTCAGTTGTAATCACAGATGTGAATGATTGTTCCCCAGAATTTCATCAGTCGATCTACAGCAAAGTTAGTGTTCATGAAACAGTTACTATGACAACTGCACTTCTACAAGGTTGGTACTTTTAAAACCATTTGTTACACTCTTCAGGAGTAACAAATCCCCCCCCAATAATTAGATTTCAATTAAGAAGGCAAAATCCTGCCCCAAGAAGGGGTAGCCACAACTCTTTGAAGGCAATTGGCATCTTGTAGAATTGGGTCATAATTACTATTGCCACAGCCATATAATATATATATGTATATTTATTTATTATATAATTTTAATTATATAATAATTATATATAATTATATATATATATTATAAATATAATATAATTTTGGAGGATGAGAACTGAAGTAAACAAATCTTCATATGATTTTGAGGTAACAGGACTTCACCTGTTTTATAAATTATTTCAAGCACTATATGCCAAGACAAATACTATTACAGTTTTATGCTATGCACTAATTCTTTTGTTAAAGCACTTAATGTTCCAATTTATATACTTTGATCTATGCAGTGTTTTTATCTTCTCTTTTAACAGTGACAGCCACTGACTGTGATTCAAAAGAGAATGCCGAAATACTATATTACTCTTTGAGTCCAGACTTTACTATTACTTCTCATGGTACTATATTTCCAGCAACAAAATTGGACTATGAGCGACCTAACCATCTGTATGAGTTCACAATTATGGCTGTGGATAAAGGGGAAGAGACGAAGACTGGGACAGCAACTGTTAGGATTCATATTTCAAATGTAAATGATGAAGCACTTGAGTTTTCCCAGACAATGTAAATGCATATTCTTAAAATTCTGTTATTTTTTACTGTCTTTTACTGTTGCGTTTTTTATCCTGGTCAGAAGGCTGATCATTATAGGCGGCTAACTGGTTTGTGTTCAATCAAATTTCAAAGTTAGTCTGACTAAAGCAGGATGATCTTTTGGCTCTGAGATCTTGTTACTGATAGTTTTTTTTTTTTTTAAGGCTTTAAATTTGGTTAATTGTAAAGTTTAGACATTGAAATTGTGCGTAGAAAGGGGTGGTATATAGACAGTCTCTTTTGGCAGATCTTGTGTTTCTGTTTTTCCAATATGTTCTTCCAATTAATTTTAGATTAATTAGAAATGAAATTCCATTAGTAGCCTACCAATTAATGATCTTCCATTCACTTACTCTGCTAAAGTCAAGATGTTTGATTGGAAGATCTTGTCAGTTTAAATACATAAATAAGTAAACAGTATATTCCAGTTATTGCTGTGTTTTAAGTAGTTTTTTCCTGCACATCAGATGGATGGCTTACATTGCTATTTACCGTGTGGATGCTTGGGAAGGTTAGCAGTGGGAAGCCACTATTCCTGCTACTCTATGGGAGATACAATATACTATTGTTAAATGATATTTTGTTTCCTTTTTTTTTTCCGTAAACCTCAGTAATGATTTTTATTCTGTATGCGGGACCCAGAGGTATCTGAAGCAATGCCAGAAACGCTGTAAATTTGCATTCAGGTTGTTAGCTTAGTAATGAAATTAATTGTGAACTTCTGCATTGGCAAGAGTGGAAAGGCTCAGAACAAAACCTTGGAAGAGATTTCAACAGTGTGGTTTAGTTGAACAAAATGTCAAAGCTGACAGTCATTTTATGTAAAAGTAACCTCGGGCTTCAAAATCTTATGTCTTCCTTTTGTTCCTAAATGTTGCTTAGGAGATATGGCTTAGAAAAAAATGATCTTTTGTTAGTTTGATAGTTAGTGGATATCCAAATATTTTCAAATACTAAAACAGATTAAGTTTATCACTCTTCAGATGATGCCTACTTTTCATTTATTCATTTGTATTAACATTCAAGGTGATTGAATGCCTAGTCCTGTATCTAGTCCCAATTTTTTAATCAGAAATGAGAGATAGCATAAAGATGCTGTAAACATCTCCATAACATATTGGAAGCAGAGTTCATAGTTAAACAAACAAAGCAAACAAACAAAAACCCACCAGCTCATATTTAAAGCTTACTGAAGAACATGATTAAAATGAATATTATTTTATATTGTCAAACATAAATAAGAACCTTTTCTGTTCCCTATGCAGTACAAGTTATATCTATATAGATTGGTGTTGGAAGTTAATTCAGCTCTTGCAGTTCAAATTGTTTCAAGTGTTTGCTTAACCATGTTAACCAGGATTTAATTTTACTTTATCTTTCAGGTAATGAAAAAAATTTCAAAAGATAAATTTCAAACATAACTTAGATGAAGTTTTCTGTGAGATAGATCATCATGAACACCCATAAATTGGCCCCTGTTGAGAGACTAATTTGCAAGGCTAATACAAATCCAGATGATGATGACGTCCTTCTAATCCTTTGTTTAAATAGATTTATAGTCCGGTGTAAACTCTAGATTCCTTGCCATGAGCTTTTTTTCATCAGTTATCCTGTGTCTCAGTTATGAAATGCCTAAGGCTATCGCTCTTTCATTTTGTCAGTTTCCACTTTCTGCTTTTTAAGAAACAACTTCTGATGACTTGAGCTCTTCTGTCCCTAAATTTCATGTTCACAATTACCAGAACTGCTGTTCATTTGCATTCCAGATTCAGAGTTAAAACAGTGTCCTGAGGTTTGTGACTGAGCTAAACCTCTCCTACTTCATTGCATATTAAATTGAGGGAGAAAAAAAAAGCTGTCACTACAAAGGTTTTGGTGAAAATGGATATCTAGACAGCAAAAGCTAAGGGAGAGGTTTTCTCTGCACCCATGTTCTTTTCCTTTGATATTTATGCATTTCTCAGCATAATGACAATGAGGTGTGATAGTAATTGACTTCATGTAACAGCTGCAGTCACTGGGGTTGTATTTGCAATGAAATATGAAAAGTGGGCCCATGAGCAGACTCAGGTACTCTGAGCCCAGTGATACCCATGTGTATTGTTGGATAGAGCCAGCTGTAATTCCTTGTCATGGCTGAGGTTTGGCATATCTACTACTGTCATATGCTTAGCCTGGCCTATGCCTGATCTAGTCAGATAAAATAATAAATATTTGGGACTTTACTAAGGCAGAGGAATTTCTACTCCTGAGAGCATTAAGCTTAGGCTGATAATGCCACTTAAGAGCTTACAGTGTCAGTGATGTGTCTGGACCTGAGAAGAGGTTTTTTGTAAAACTGGAGTTACGCACATATCCTCTGGATCTGATTCTCATCTTAGTCATGCTGGTGCAAAGAGTACACTGAAAGCATTTGACAACTTGTGTCAGAAAGTACGTTATAACAAACAATGTTCTTAAATGTTTACTTTAATTCTGTGAATCTTGTAAATTGAAAAAAAAAGAATTCTACATTTAGCGTAATTGTTGTCATGAAGATCAGCTTGAAAGCATCAACACTGCTGAAAGTTTACAGTGGAAATTTATGGGAGGGAGCAACAGAAAGATGGTTGGATAAGTCATCTATACTATAATTTCCTTGGTTTATGAAGTAGCATCTTAACAGTGTAATTGCATTAATAAATTACAGATCTCTGCAGTACCCTTTGTATAGGTATTCAGTAAAATCAGTTGTAAAATATTCCTCTATGTATATATTGTTTTCTGTCTAAATTTGTAAGTATGTTGTCATAATTTCATTTAACAGTTACAGGAGTTTTGTTTCTGAAGATGCAGGCCCAAATACACTGGTTGCTACAGTTAATGCTGTTGACCCTGATGGAGATGGTGTGAACTATGGTATTCTATCTGGGAGTCAAAAAGGAAATTTTGTTATTGACCCTGAGAAAGGTAATACTGTATTAGCTCTCTGCTGCTACAGAGCCATAATGTTGATTCTGTTGTGATGCACATTAAGATTGTTTTTTATTAAACAACATTTATAAAAACTGAATAGCATATACAATTTTTGGAGCTAGTGCTAATGTAATAAAAAAATGCAGGAGAAAGGTGCAAGTGTTCTAGACTCTCTCCTAACATTAAAAAATTGTATCATTTTCCTAAAACCCCTGTATAATTGACAACTCTTATTTGTTTATTTTGTTTATTTATTGTCTGATTTCAGACAATAATTCAGACAAAATAATAATTCAGACAAAATAATAATTCAGACAAATTATGAATATATAATAATAATTCAGACAAAAATTCAGTCAGTAATTTAATAGAGAGCATTGTTAGTGATAATGGGTAACTTAAGAGACGAATGTTGATTGGATACCATCTCTTATGTTATGATCCATTGTTTTTTATATAGATGACTGTGTATAAGTAAACTTAAACCTTTTAGCAATTAGTTTTTATAGTCTACCAAGCTTAATTCAGAAAAATTAACTTTTTTTTTTTTTCCAAAACATTTTTTGGCTTTTGTTGCTTTTGTAAGCCAATAAAAGTTTATGCAGTGACTTGCAGCAGTTTAATTTCACAAATGATATCAGAAGAATAGTCTTCTCCTTGTCACAGAAATGGCAGGGAGAAGTGGAAATATGTCAAGAATAAGTGAAGCGGCTAAAACAGTACATCTGCAAGCAAATTGAGTGACATTGATGCTGTGACAATACTCTGTTGTAATGACAATTGCTGTTATCCCTGATGAATAAGTGAGGTGGTGATTGATGGATGATGAAGTGGATGAATGACAGCTTCTTTCTACATGGTCTCAGACTTGGAAGAGTAGCAAAATGCATGTTTCTGAGGGTATGTCTAAACAGCTTAATGCTGTGGTGATTGTGTTACAGGAAGGAAAACTTACTAATTTCAGTTGAGCTAACATGAAAGACTGCAGCACAAAGAAGACAGACTTCATTGCAATAATAAAGGAATGTACCCATGCTCCCTGGTAGGGCTGAAACAGGTTAAACAGAAGTTTGCCACAATGTTTCTGGATTTTTATTTTTATTTTTGTTATCTTCTGCAGCAGATGAAGATAATGTGCAGGTCAGCTGAGCTGTAGCTGTTGTCTCTTTCAGCTGTGTAGGCATATGTGCAGACCTGTTGTTGTGCTGTCTTCCTTTTATTATCAGACTGCAGTGGAAAATACCATAATAATTAAAATGTACCAGTCTTCTGAATAGTTAGAAAGGTTGGAAGAATAACAGTAATTGGTTAATGTACTAAAAAATAAAAAAAGCTAAAACCTGTTGTTTTTCAGGGCTAGTTAGACTTCATTCAAGTCCATTTCCAAAGTTGCATGGGACAGAGTACATAATGTCACAGCTACTGATGATAATGCCCCTGGAGGGACCTGTTTTCTTCCAAGTACTGCTCAGGTTATTGTGAAAATTGATGATGTCAACAACAACAAATGTGTCTTTCAGATGGTGAATACATGAGGCTAGATGATATGCATTAGACTGTGTGGTGCATGTTTAAGACTGTTGCCACTGCAAGTGGTGCAGCAGATAAGTTATTCAAGACGTGATCCACTTTCTTTTTCTCCTCTTGATACCACTGTCTTCTCCATCTTTCCCGTCCCTCTCCTGAGCCTTATATGGTTTGTTCTCTTGTGGCAGAGCAGCTCCTGTAAGCAGACTTTTTCCTGAACCCCACCTCATCTGTCATTTTAGAAAAGATTAGGTTGGGTGAATAACTTTTGGTGTTTCATTATGACACATGAGGAGGGATCAATAGGTGTATCTATCCAGTGGACTTGTTCCAAAGTGTTCCAAAACACCTCCCTAAATTTCATTGTCTTCTTGTGATGATTATAAGTCTGGAATTGATGAAAGAAAAGAATGAAGGTATTTCAGCTTGAATTGTAAAGTACTGTAAAAATAAATGCTTGAATGTATTTTCAGAATGTTCACTTGTATTTAACATTCTGTTGTCAAAAAATTTCAAGTTTGATGCTAATGGCTAATACGTTGATGAATAATGTTGCACATTTTAAAAAGTCCATGACTGCTCAATGAAGTCTTGCAAATTATCATTAATCTGTTCTTGACAAACTTACTTTGAATAGAAAGCTGGTATATGTCCAAATATTTTAATCAGTTGGAGTTGCATAGTTTTCATATAACCACAAAATAGCAAGTAAAGTGCTTAAGTTAATAATGATACAGATAAAAACATCAGCATATCTGAATGGCAGTGTGGCTAAATAGTGTTTTTTTTTTTTTTATTTTTTTCCCTCTAATGTATTATTAAATCATATGGCAAGTTACATGCTTGATTGTTTTTGTTTTTGTTTGTATCCCCTCTCAGTGTCAGTATTATCGGGAACATGCTTCCGTATTGGAAAACCAGCCTTCAGAGACAGTTGTACTGCAAATTGAAGCCACTGATGCTGATGAAGGAGCCAATGGTATAGTGAAATATGGCTTGATGCACAGAGATGGTATCCTACCAGCATTTAGTATTCATCCTGACACAGGTAAATGGAATATCATAACTGATACTGGCACATAGAAACCACTGCATTAGGCTGATGGAAAACAAGCTTAAATAAGATCAGACTTTGTGCTTTGCATTGAGGTTTTTTGATAGCAGACAAAATATAAGATGTTTTAACTGCATGAACATTCTGCTTTTAACTTCATACATGTCCAGTAGAACTAGAACTAGATTTGATATTTTCCCTGAAACGTGGAAATTCTGCATTGTGAAATAACTTCTGTGTTTCTGTAAGTAGATTTTAAAAATACATATTTTAGGTGCACATTATCTGGTATCATTGTTAATGGTATATAAATGACTTATCCATATGACAGAGTAGTCTTACAAATGACCAAGAGACTAAAACGTTTGGAAGGGCAAAACTAAATGCAGGCAGAATTTTAGAGGATAAAGGACATGGAAATTGGTCTCTTAAAGTTAGTTTGGTATTATCTTTCTGAACTAAAATCAACTGTATATAGATAAGAGTGCTTATGAAGATTGTGTCTGCCTGAGCAGTACAGTTTAAGTTCTTGAAATTGTTAAATCTTGTGACTGAAGCCTTGAACCTAAAATTTGCATTATATGTATATTTAGCCTATTGGCTTATATCTCAATATATCGACAATCAAATAAACATCTAAATACAGTATTTTCAAATGCGTAGTATTTTAATTCTGGTATTTAATTTGTTTTCAGGAGTTCTGACAACTATACAAGTATTTGATAGAGAAAAACAGAGGGAATATTCTATCACTCTGATGGTAACAGACCAGGCAGCAGAACCACTCACTGGAATATGTCAGATAAATGTTATCATTCTGGATCAAAATGACAATGATCTCAGGTTTGAAAACAACCACTATAAATGTAATTGAGAGTCATTGGATAGAATTTCAGTGCCTTGAGTGTGAGCTTAACTGATGTCTAAAATTATTGGATTTTTGTCTTTCATAGCAGTAAATTCTGTGACTAATTGAGTGATTGAAGCCAGAGGTGCACTTATCTTAGTTAATTGCAGAATTGTATGTATAATATTCATTAAAAACCTGGTATTTCTCAGTTAGTTATAATATACAAATCCAAGAAAGTAGTTCCTGATTTTGTGCAATAAGCTAAAATTCCATTTGCTTATATTTCATACAAAGCAATTAGTCCTTTAGTTTAAAAAAAAAAAAAAAAAGCAAAACCAGAAAACTGGAAAAAGTAATAGACTGAATAAGAATTCCAGTTTATGAATGTGATAATACAAAGTTAAATGTGATCCATAGCTCAGATATTCTAGAGCCTCAAAAATAATCAAGTCTGTGCTACACTTACCAAAATTGACGTATTCTGTGTAGTATTCTCCGGAATAACAACTTCATAGCTGTCCCTTTCCCACTGTGGAGGTTGGCTTTTTGCACTGGTAATAGTAACAGCTCTTGAAACAACTGGTAATCATAACAGCTCTTGAAAACATCGTTTGATTTTATGGGCATTGTTCCAAGGGGTAAAAAGTGGTATCTTCCATACATTTTTACTTTAGTATTTCTTCATATTTCTTAGTAAGATGTTCATGGTACTTTAGTGAATTAATGATCAGCTTGAAATAACCTTCCCTTACGTTAGATTTCCTAAGGGAAGACACAATAGTTGGGACCAGCTTTCTTCGTGTTGCAGCCCCTGATGATGACTACGGCTCAAATGCTGTCATTACATACTCCATAGCGAATGAAGAACCAGATTATTTACAGATTAACCCTACTACATGCTGGATGTTTGTCAACCAACCCATATCTCAGGTATGGTGCTTATTTTCCTTTTTGAACTGGCAATCTCAATATATCATAAGAGGCATGGAAGTCATGACATTGTTCTCATTGACATGTTACCCCTTCATTTTAAAGGATTAGTATGTTCTGTTCAAATTAAACCTGAGTCTCAGGCTTTTAGCTGATGAGCTCCTTGACTGTGAATTGCATGCAAGCAAGCCCTGCTTTCAGCTTGAAAGTAGCTTGAAAGTATTGACTCTAAGAACACTAGAGACCTAGTAACAAAAACGGTTGATAGGTGAACTTAAGAACTCAGGGATTTGACAGAGCTTTTGTTGTTGTTGATAGTTTATTTTAAATTTAGGATGTGTAAAATTTTCTAATTTTTTGAGACAAATGTCAGTGTCTACCAGCAATCATGAATAAAAAAAAAGAGCAGATTATTCAGCAACCTTGCACCTACTTCGTATTCTGAGTTGAGTCTTCTCCATTCATGGATGTTTTCCTTTCATGCAGATTTTCTTAAGTATGCCTTTAACTCATGTTTTCATTATTTTGCTAAAAAACTTACCTGAGCCCTGATCAAAACCCTCTGTAATGAACCCTCTTTTGCTCTTCATTTATAATTCATGAGATTATTGCTACAGATGGAGGTAATAGGAGCAGTAAAGTTGAACTTGCGGTAACTATTACAAGTTCAAAAAGCCAACCTTCACAGTGGTTGGTAAGTTTAGCACAGACTTGATTATTTTTGAGGCTCTAGAATATCTGAATATGATTATTTGCATAAATATAGTGAGCTGTATAATTTTGTGTATTGCAGTGGCCAATGATTTGATATTAGTTTTATTTCAAAAATGCTAACAATAACCAGCATTTTTTGCTTTAATTTATGTGAGTGCAACCACTATTTAATTTCCTTCCCATTTGGATATTCAAATTTTTTGAATGCTGCCATCTTACCTGTGGTAATTATTAGATTTAAAATACTTGGACTTGATTGGTTTGGCTCAGAACAAGTAAACAGAACAGCTTTACAAAGTAATTCCAAAATTAATGTTTGTAGAGTAAAATAGTGAGTAACCAACCCTGTAGTAACTGTTAAACTTTGGCTACAGCTGTTTGTGTCCTGGGGATGTATCAAGTAGGGTTACAATTTGATAGCCAGAAATACTTGTCCTACCGTTTTCAGTTGAGAGATGGAGATCTGAGAGAGTTGGTACACTGAAACTTTTGGAAATGTTGCTCTACTTAGAAACCTGTTAATTACACAAACTCTTTGAACTGTACAGACAATCAAAGCAACTTCTCCCCTTGGTGATCCCCACATAACTTATAACCTAGAAGAGGGACTTGTTCCGGAAACCAACATGCCAGTTCATTTCTACTTGACTCCAAACAGAGGTGATGGTTCTGCTTCAATCCTGGTAGCTGAGCCATTGGATTATGAAACTACAAAGAGCTTTCTGCTGAGAGTTCGAGCACAGAATATTGCTGCAGTTCCCTTGGCAGCATTCACTATGGTCTATATTAATGTAACAGGTGTGTAAGCTGTTCAGTGATCATATAACCATAGTGCATATTTTTTATTCTTATTATTTCTGTTTTATACTTGTTTATGTGCTCGTTCTGATGTTTTAGATGTCAATGACAATGTCCCATTCTTCACTTCATCTGTTTATGAAGCCTCAGTGGCGGAGGGAACTGATGTTGGGACATTTGTCATTAAGGTCTCTGCCACCGACCTTGACCTTGGTCAGAATGGTGAGGTAAGCAAGTGTGTACCTACATCTTCCATACAATGGAATACCTTCTGTGTAAATAATGACTAGATAGGCTGGGAGTCTTCAGCATAGAAAAGGGATGGCTACTAGGAAGACATGAGGTGAAATAAAGTAGTTAATTACAGGTTTCTCTGCCCTGTCACTTGAAGAATGCAACTAAAACTAGTAGGTATGAGATAGAAAACAAGAAGAAATATTTACAGATGGGTGAAGTAGAAGGAAGTTAAGTGACTTAAAACTAGAGACTGATCAAACTTGCATTTTTACCTAGTTTTCTTGGATCTCGTCAAATTCTCAACCACAACACTGTTCTTCTCTTTAAGTACTACTTTAGTTATGAGGTATCTAATGAAAGAAAAGTACAGATTAACATCTTGTTTTTAATCCTTTAGATAATTTATTTGCTGTTACATGACCGTAGCAGAGACTACACATGTTTTCGCTTGGACTCACAGACAGGCTCAATATACACTACTTCAATATCTGATAGAGAGAAGAAGAGGTCCTATCTCTTAGAAGTCAAGTCAGTAGATGGCTCTGAATCAGCTCGACCTGGAAAACATGGGAGGCCAAACTCTGGTAAAAAACAGATATCTGTGACAAGCATGATTTTACCTGGGTTGGTATCTGAAAACAGCAGCTCTGAAATCAAAAATATATATTTTTTTTCAATTGTACTTGTAAAAGTACATGTTTAAAAATTTGTTGTCCACAACAGTTGTGTCAGAGCTGAGAGAGATGTTTTTTATGACAATCAGGCAAGCTGTTTGTTCTGAAATTGAAAGAAAACTGGAGAGTCATAGTCAGAGTTTAGGGAGCATTTCCTACCTGGCAAAGATGTACCCATTATCCATAGAATACAGACCTTGTTTAGGTAGTGGAGGAGTTTCTCAAAGCACTACATATGCTACTGTATTAATTCAAGAGTAATTATGAAGTATGAAAGTTCAAGACAGAAAATCCTGTTCTCAATTGACAGTTGTGCTTAAATAAAAAAGTTTGGCTTTTGTGGTTTCAGGACAAAAAGTTATGACTTAAAACTATACAATTGCCATATTAGGCATCAAGTATTCACATACTATCTGCTTAAACAAATTGGATGTGACATTTGTTTGATATCCAAATGCTTCTGAGTAATGTTGGTATATATACTGTCCACAACCCTAAGGGTTTGTTCCTGTATTGTCTTCATATTTGTCTTCATTTAATGTGCAGCTAGACAGTTTAAGGAATTGTAGCTGACACTAGTGGCACAGATGAGTATTTTAATCTCGTTTCTTGTCTCTCTAGACACGGCCTATGTACGCGTTTTTATCACCGATGTGAATGATAACAAGCCTGTCTTCTCTCAGCATGTCTATGAGGTAAATGTGGATGAAGATCAGGACGTGGGCTCACCTATCATTACAGTCAGTGCTAAGTATGAAGACGAAGGTAAAGTAGTGGAATTCCACATACCTGTGTTTAAAATATTAATGAGTTAATTTCAACACCCCAAGACATATTTTTGTTGGGGTTAGGAAGGAAAATGTCTTCTTGTCTCTAGATTTTAAAACTTCTTTTGTGTGAACTGATTGTGCATTCATGCATGAATGTTAGTTGATAATGGAGCTGTGACACATAAGTGAAAGGACTTACGTGAAGCAATGTGGGATGTTGAGAAATAATTTATGTGCCAGCAAATACAAATTTATTTTAGATCATATCTTTTTTTTTTTTTTTCCCCAAATAAGCACCAATAAAAATGTCCTGGTTAACTAGAATATATCTGACTTATATTCAGTGAGATTTTTTTACTTTGTCTGCAGACTGTGCAGTTGTAAGATTCTTTATTTTTTTGGCACCTGCTGTCATATTGGAAATGAGACTTTCTAAGGACATATGTTGAGTCTTAGCTATGTTGATTTACAGATCAGTCAGGAATTCAGCAGTAAGTCATGTATAAACAATTACATAGCCAGTGCTCATAAATTAGAGAGGGGAAAGTGCAGGCTTCCCTCTTTTGTCCATTGTGCACTACTAATTTGACTTTGCTATATGGTGAAACCATATGTGTTGTTGCACAGGTCCCAGAGGGTTTTTCTGTGAGCACATCTGTAACGTGCAAGTACATCCTGAATACATTTGATGCCTCCTCCATTCAAGGAGATTGAGGCAGTTGTGGCTAAGCTGTACTGAAGGTTTTACTTGCACCAGGAACTCTTAGTTTATTACTTACGCTGCCTGCAAATCTACTCTATAATGTTGGATCAGGGTTCTGATATTACAGAAATACCACCCTTCGTTTCTGTTCTCTTAATAATGTAAATGATTAAAGGTGTAGCTACGAAAGAAGGAGAGAAGAATGGTAACTTCAAGGTAGAGCTTTCAGAATGAAAGGCTCTATATCTTTACTTGGTCTGAAACCATTGACAAATTGGGATTGCATCTGAATTTTTGTGAACTTCTGTTCAGTATTAAGCCAGAGGAGAAGATCATAATTATCCTCTTCGGTAAAATCTATGCATAAATAAATGAATGGTTCTATTTTATGAAGTATTTTATGATAACTCATTCTTACATGCTGGGTGTTAGCAAATACCAATTTGTCTTTTTGATACCATAGTCTTGGCCATTCATACTGATTACTAAGTGAATTGAAGGGATCTTAAGTAAAAGCAAAATTAATACTTCATTGCATGTTGCAGGAAGCACAGCCGAAAGCATGACAGACGTCAGTAGAGTCAGATCATGCTCCATTTTATTGCCCGAATAGCCTAACTTTTATAGTGAACTTAACAGGAGCGGATAGTGTCTCACACAAGATTATTGGTCAAAAGCACTCAGACAAACAACTACAAGAAAACAACCCCACCTGCAAGAAAACAACCCCCTTGTGATTAGCAGTCACGTAGACCTTGTCCTTGAAGCCAGCTACTGGTAACAATATTTTTCTGAATTCCTCAATTGGGCGATGTGGGAACACTGTCATGGGAACTTCTCATAGTTGCCCTGGTAGCTTGGTTTGCTCAGCTACAGCAAGCCATGGGATTTTTGCTATTTCAAAAAATCCCTCAACAATTGCAAAGGTACATTTCATAACTAGACACAAGCTGTAACTGGGCATAGCAACATTGAAAATACTAATCAGTAATCTAACATAGCTGCAGATTTTAACAGACTAACAAACCATAATATCAAAAATCAGTTATGATTTGTACTTCATCTTAACATCCCATGTTTTTGTGTACTTAAGAAATTGTGTGTTTTCTGACACTGTTGGTAATTGATGGGAACAAATGCTAAGTTATGTTATCAGATCACTGCTGGAAGCACAGGAGTAGAGCTTGATACAGAAGCAGAAACAGGAACTATTTTTGTTGCCCAGCCACTGGATTATGAAGAAACAAAAATACATGAGATGCACTTGTTGGCTTCTGATGGGAAATGGGAAGATTATGCAGTTACCATCATCAATGTCATGAATAAAAATGATTAGTCTTCAGTTTTCTCAATCAATGAATACTATGGAAGTATAATTGAGGAACCGGATGGGTTACCAGTCTTCGTACTTCAGGTAGTATACTTTCATGCACATTCAGAGATTATAATATTTTAATGAAAGAGCACAGATTACTCTGGTACAATTACATGAATAATAATCCAGCACAGATATATTATTGTAATTTAATTTTACTGAGTATTTTTGTCAGTTGAAGAAGAGAAATTGACTTTTAAGGAAGCATAATTGTGAAGATATTAAGCAGGATAAGCAGAATAGATCATTTGTGATCCTAAAATGCAGATCATTAACATTTTAAAGTAGCTATCAGAATAGTATAGTTAAATTAATTCTATACATAGAAAAAATATAAAAGATGATTGTAGTAATATAATGTATTGCTGATGTGATTATTAATGTGTGGGATATAAATGACAACACACCTTTCTTCATGTACATGCCTGATGATTGCAATGGAAGTGCCTTTGAAAATTCTCCTGCGGATACATTAGTCATGGAAACGAGTGCAGTTGACCAAGATGATCCAAATGTAGGTCTTAATGCTGTTCTGACTTACAGAATTACAGAGAATGTAAAAAATGAGTTTGGTACTGACATGTTTAGTATCAATCCCAATACTGGTACAATCCATGTAGTGGGGGGAGTGCTTGATAGAGAAAGGACTACAAATTATTTTCTTACTGTTGAAGCAAGAGATGGGGAGGGCTAACAGGAACTGGCACTGCCACTATCTGGATTGCAGATATCAATGACCATGTACCTAGATTCGCAAAAAAGTTGTGGCAGGCAACAATTCCTGAAAACAGTGCCATCGACTCAGAAGTTCTGCAAGTGTCTGCAGTAGATGCAGATGCTGGGCAAAACGCTCGCTTAACATTCAGTATCATCAGGGGAGACCTGGATCGGAAGTTTTTTGAGAGTGACAAAGAATGGCAATGTGCCACTATCCGACTGAAAAAAAAATTGAATTTTGAGAAAGCACGTGAAAGGCAGTTTAATCTTACTATTAAAGTGGAAGATCTTGATTTTTCTAGTACTGCTGTTTGCCTGATTGAAGGCAATGACCACAGCCCAGTCTTCCCTTTTCAATTTATTCAGACAAAACCTTTTTTTGAAAATATGCCTATAGGTACTACAGTAATGACAGTGAGAGCTACAGACAAAGATTCTGGTTTGAATGGGATCATTGTATATTCTATAAAGTCAAATTCAGATCCTATGAGACAGTTTGCAGTTGACAAACATGGTCACGTGATTGTGGCATATAAACTAGATCGTGAGGTCATGCAGAAATAGAGTTTAATTGTGCAAGCTTCAGATCAAGGGATGCCCACCCAAACTGGAAGTGTTACAGTTTTGATTAACTTGCTTGATGTTAATGACAATGGATCAAAGTGTGAGGTACCATACCTGCCTGTAGTTTGGGAAAATGTGTTGAGGCCTGAAATAGTGCATATGAACCATACCTCAAAGCTGCTTCGTGCATTTGATCCAGACAGTGAGGAAAATGGGCCACCTTTTACATTTTCATTGCCACCAGATTACCAGAATTCTTTGGATTTTTCTCTTACTGACAACAGAAATAACATGGCAACCATAACTGCTTTGAGGTCCTTTGGCAGAGAAAAGCAGAAGGTTTTTCATCTGCCAATAGCTATAGCAGATAGTGGGATTTCAGCTATTAGCTCTACAAACACCCTAACTATAACAATTGGTGATGAAAATGACAACTGCCATAAATCTGGCCACAAGGAAATCTATGTGTACAGTAACAAAGGTAAGTGCTGTCTGGATATTACATCAGGTACATTAATATAACAATTTTATGGTTCTAACAGTTCTAAATTCTATTTTTTTAATGGCTTACGTATTTTTAAACTAAAGCTCCAATTCCGTAAACTACTAAATAAATCAGAGTAGAGTATAAGTTCCAAAGTTCAAACCCGGATGTGTAAAGATAATCTACCAAAAGACTGTTAGCTATGAACAAATACATACTGCATGTACAGAAAATGCAGTATTTTTATAAATCAATAAAATCTGTTTTCCATTCATTGATTTTTGCCTTTCCAGAGGAAAACTTTTATGTGTACACGGGATTCATAAAGTATCTGACACAGAGTGATCTGGAGATGAGAATGGTGGAACTGAAGCAATTTTGAGAAATAGCAGAGATTCATATTTGAGTCAGAAATTGTAGACCTACAATGCCACACCTACTGTATGGATGAGCAAGATATAAATCTGGAGGAGGGAGGTTTTAGCTGGCAAGAAAGGATCTGAGAGAAAGCTGGGTCAGTGCCTTTTTAGAAAAAAAAAAAAAGTGAAAAATAATCTTTGAGATGCAGTAAGTAACTACTTTCTAGAACATGGAGCCTTTGGACTGACAAACAAAAGATGCTATTCTGGATGTTTTCTTGAGTGGTGCGCAGTACCTAGTTCAAGAAATACTAGCATGAGATCTGCTCTGTGACAGCAACCACAATACTAAGAGTTTCACCTTGTACTGGGAAAGAACAGAGCAAATGCGTCCATTAAGTGAAATCTTAACATTTTCTCATCGGAGTGGTTTAGCAATGTGTAAGCAGTTGAATAATATTTTCTAACATTTGTCTTGAATTTCTATTACTGTTTGTTTCCTGAAATTATCTGTGTAAAATTTGACTGTAAATAAAGCCTTGGTGGCCTTTATAGGTACGGTTTGTTAAGCCTCTTCCCAGATACTCTGTTCCAGATAAACTTGGCTATTCTCAGTTATCATTGCAGTGGTAGAATTTCAGACAAGTGTTATATTAATCTACAGAAGATATTTTTTCAGTGAGTTATTTTTTGCTGAATTCAGAACACCTGAATTAGAAAAAGATGTGATGAGTTCCAGCATAGAAGTGAGAGAATTTTCTAGGGTGGTTTGGCTCCACATATGAACCTTGAGAATTTCATATGTTGCTGTATTGTTCTAAGGTCTCCTTCCCTGGAGTAGTTCCCTATAGGATGCTCCTTTTGCTATTGTAGAACTATTTTGCTATTTTTAGTGGATGTTCCGCTTTTGTGATGGTCCACAGAGGCCTGAAAAAAGGGCCAAGAACTGGCACAACTTAGTGGCTTCTTGCCCATTTCCTGGCCATGTCCTTCTCTCCCAGCTGCAGTCCACAGGATATTTTCTCTTTGTTGCTGGGTTCCAGCAGGTGCTGTCTGAAATAGCAGAGTAGCAATTGGTTTAACTCCTGATACAGTGATTTATTTATTTATTTTTGTTCAGAGAATTTTACATAGAGTTGCATTCATCTTTGTGTTGTTTTGGATCAGTTTTGACTTCTATGCCTTACTGTTACATCCACAATGTACTCACTTTCCCAGAACTGACAGAAATCAGATGGCAAGCTGTGAATCATGTTAAGAATCTTGGATCATAACCGTCACCAAATCAAGCAGCAATCTGAAAATAATAAACAATGTAATGAATGCTGTGGAATATTAAGTGTACCAAAAAGCAAAAAATTAAATGCAGATTTATTATAATTTATCTCAACAGGAAAATGGTCAACAACAGTGCTTGGGGAAGTGTTTGCACCAGATCAAGATGACTGGGACAATAAAACATTTATCTTTGAAGGAAAACTGCTCAAGTGAGGATTGTATTTGTGTCAAAATTAGTATTACTTAACGCTTCTGTAATTATTTTATTCACCATATATTTCTCTATGTTCAGGATGCACGCAAGAAAACATTATTGAGTGTATGAAGGAATGTACCTTTTCATGTGCTTTTTCTTGTTTTTAAACAGGCTGACATCAGGACGAGGTTCTTCATCGAGAGGGTGGTTGCATACTGGAACAGGCTCCCCAGTGAAGTAGTCACTGCACCAAGCCTGTCTGAATTTAAGAAGTGATTGGACTGTGCACTTAGTCACATAGTCTAAACTTTTGGGTAGACCTGTGTGGTGCCAGGAGTTGGACTTGATGATCCTTATGGGTCCCTTCCAATTCGGGATATTCTATGATTCTATGATTCTAAACTTGGGTAACTAAGTCCTAGAACTTTCAGTGCATTATTTTAATTTTTAATTTTTAATTTTAATTTTGTTTTATTTTATTTTATTTTATTTTAGACAATGCAGGGTAATACCATGATGTTTATTTTTTGTCCTTAATTTATTTAAACATTGGGTCTGTAAGACCCAATTTAACAATAAGCAGAGTTTTTAATGCCTCCCCCTAACTGTTAAAGTTGATGCAATACAAATCACAAATTCAAAAGGGCAGAATATAATAATTTAATCAGAAGTGGAAGTTAATTTGATGATCTTTGTTGATGAATACATTTAGAATTGCAAGGGAAAGCCATAACTTTTAACTTAGTGGAGTTATTTCTGCAACTTCATATATCGAATTAGATCCTTAATTCCTACTAACATAGTATTTGTCCATATCATAAGTAGGCCTGCTTCCATTTTAGGAGGTTACTGTTTCACAGTAGCGTTCATGGAATATTTCCATAATTACTATTTATTGTCCCTTTGAGGTGGCACATAAAAATGAAATCAGAGATTTCATACAGACTTTGCCCTATTCCAAACTGATAAACGGGATTCAGGAATTTGTGTGTTTTTGTCACTTTCTATATTTGTATAGACCTGTACATGATGGCTATGTTGAACCCCCTGGTTACACTGTCTCCTGCAGACTGGTTGTTTTTGTTCAGGATTGGGAAGGCATAGGGGTCTGGGAGTGGAAGAAACATCTATTTATAAGCTCTGAAAACCATCACTTCTCAGCTAAATAATTTTTGGTGCTATGTTGAAGTTGTTCATGGATTGCTGTAAGTTTTAATCCTGTAACCTTCATAGCAACATTTAAGGCTTTTTGAGTTATGTTAATGAATAATGTAAGTTCTCAGTTTTGGTTTATTAAGTTTCCCTAATTGAAAGTATATGTCTAGATTTTTCAGATTAAATCAGAGGACTGGTTCTTTGATGATGGTGCATAATGCTCCTGAAGGAATACACAGTTTAAAAGTTACAGTTTCTGATGGAGTTTGGCCTGATGTTATATCTACAGTACAAATCCATGTCAAAGAGCTGGAAGATGAAGACATACAAAACTCAGCCACCGTGCGTCTATCAGGTTAGTTTTAGTACCTACTGAGAGTTTAGATCAGCTGCTTGTATATTTGAATGATTACATGATGTAGGTATTATTTTATGATTTTGATTTAGATGTCATTATGAGGCAGATGCACTTTCCAGTATGTTTTCATATTGCTAAATAAGAAATCAGTTGAGAAATTAACTATTTCATGTTTATTTTTGAATCCCAAACTCAGATGTCACAGCAGAGGAGTTCATACAGAGAGATAAACACGGCAAAAACAGATATGTCAAGTTCAAGGAATTACTAGCAAACATGTTATCAGTTCAGCTTAGTGATATCATTGTCTTCAGTCTGATGAACATTGATGGAAAACAGGCAGATGTAAGATTTGCGGTCCTTGATGGCTCAGCGTATTACAGACCTGAGAAACTGCATGCTGAGATGGCAGCATTCAAAAATGAGGTATGTTCTCTAGGGCTGTTCTGCAGACTTAGTATTTGGGTAAATGACATAGATGCAAGTTATGTATCCCAGACCTCACACAACCCTCAGTGAAAGAATATGCAAGACCTACAGATAGGTATTGCTTCACTCAGGACAAAAAAATTGCCAAACAATGGCTAAATTCAAGTTGTCTTCATTCTCCTTAATCCCATACATTTTGTTATCATACAGTTGTACTCATTTTAGTTTCAATAGATATAATTACTTGTAGTCACAGAAAGATGGCCCTCCATTCCTAATCATAATACAGTTGCCTGTGTCTTCTCTAGTCAGTGTCTCATTGTATAATCTATCAGACTTTTGAGTATGATATTAGAAGAATCCATAAAAGACAAAGTGGTACTGTAATACAGATAATGTGTTGAAATTGACAGCTCTTCGGACATTTTAGATGCTGATGGAAATACCAAGTCATGTGCTTGTGGTTAGACACTTACCTCAGGCTTGATGTCACCCAAACTGAAATTCTGCTATACAAAGAGATGATAGTCCATAGAAATAATCCTGCTGGAAGGAATATGCAGGTTAGAAGAACAGTTAAAGTGAGATGTAGGCAACCAATTTTACAATTTTTTTTAACTCACCAAAGGTTAATTCTTAAATACAACGTGACACCCCCCCTCCTTTTTTTTTTTTTTTTTTTCTATGATAGGGGTAAAAGAGTTTTTGAAATTAGATGTTTTCTTTCCCTTCCTGATGACACTTAACTCTTGTACTATTTTACCACATTCTGCATGCCCTTTAAATCAGCTACCTATATGCAGTCTGTACTGGTTCCACTCTTCTATTTTCAGCAGCCTTCCAGATTTTGGCTTTGCTGAAGTCCTGCAGATGCTATTGAGTAGGCAAAAAGCTGCTGCTGTGCACAAAGGCAAGATGCTGCTGCTCAGTTGACTAGCAGTAACTTGCTCTGGACAAGATGGCACTTCTTGACATTTTATGTGCGGCTACAGGAGCGTATTTAAATTTAATACATGGCATTTATGCTGGATTTTTCCTGAAGAGAAAACAGCACTTTTCATTTGTGTAAATACCATGATTCTTGGAACCAAAAAGTATCTTTCTTACCACATGCCCACATCTTATAATGTCTTAAATAGTGTGGATTGTGAGAATCTACACAATGACCAAGCTGGAAATACACAGAGGCAAATTCTATTCATGAAGGTTCTTCATGAAATGACTTCTTCTTTTGCTTATTTATAGAGTTACTGCAATAATACTATGGAAAATTGCATAGATTTCAAATATTCTATGCCATAAGATATGGCAGGTGAATTCATGAAAGTGGTAAGAAGGGATTGCTTCACATATTTTAATGAAAAAGTCAAGCTTGTATCAATTATATATCACCTTTCAATATTTAATTAATAGCTCTAGTGAGTAATCACCAACAGTCTACCGAAAACCAATCATAACTGAACAATTTCTGCAGTAGTTTTTATATATAAATAGAGAAAATAAATAATTAGAACTGGAATTATTCATTGAATTGCTAAATAAATAATATGCTTGCATTACTTCCTTGTGGTACAGCTTTACAACAACTATTTTTAGCAGCAAAAATAATCCTCCATAACAGTGCAAATGAGCTAATGTTTATATATGCTGCTTTTTTGTGACTGTACTGCATAGCTCTTTGTTTACTTCCTGCTAATGGTGATTGTTGTGGGCAGCAGACACCAAAAAGTGCTGACAGGATGCATCATGTCATTATAAAGCATATTTTATGCCTTTGGGGACATGGTTTTCCATATGTTATGATATTTGAGGGTATATTGACAATTGATTATAAAGGTCAGAGTTCTTAGAGTGGTAAATTGACGTGACAGTACAAGTAAAATTTAAAAAAAGATCTTCAGTATTTATGCATTTGTTTCAGTCTTTTAAAAACTTACTTTTAAAATATTTGTCATGCATTTTATCGTTTAAAAAAATACTTGTTAAATGTGTAAAGAAAGGTCTGATGTCATTTTGTTAGTTTTACATTTGTATGTCACCCTTGCTCATGACTAGACCATAGTGAGGCCTCTTGTATTCAGGTTTGGGCACTATATGCATGTCATTCAGTGTATTTGAATCTTCGAATACAAATCAAATTTTGAAGCTTTATAGGCACCTGTGCAAAATCCCAAAACAAGTGAAAGGAACAAATGTGTTATACTAGGGAACAAACATGGTGATACTGTAGTCCTGTGCATAGGCTACTGGCTGAATTACAAGAGGTGTGAAATAGTCACAGCTCTGTTATTTTCCTCAGGGTTATTGTGAACAACTAACTTCCCTTGTGCCTTATTATAGTTTTGTTTGTTTGTTTGTTTTTCCTCTTTGGATTAGGAGTTGCAAACTGCGAGAACACTATTGCTGTGTTACAAAAACTATATATATATAGTATATATAGTGTATATATATTTGTGTGTACACCCATATACAGTGACATGAAAAGGAAACTTAAAGGATGTGAATGAATAGGCTGAATTCAAATTGCCACAAACCTGTCAAGTCACTTTCTGTGGATGTTATTATTAAATGCAGCTCAGCACTGCATTTTCCAGTGCTTGCATCCTTATGGAAAAGGTTACTTAAGAAACACTGGGTATGAATTATGGTGCTGTCAGAGTGCAAGAAGTGTGACATAGACCACACAGCTTTGGTCCTCAGCAAAAATGTTGGTAGTCCGGTACCAATTTAAGACATTCAATATCAGTTGTATCAGGGATTTAAGTTTTCAGGAAATATTGCTACTGTGAATTTTTTAAAATAATTCCTGTATTTATAAAATCACTTTGCTTGTATAGTCAGAGATGTTACTAATGATCAGAAAACTAAAGCATTCCATTAACTTTACAATAACTTAGATTTTTTTTTTAGAAATGAAGCAGTACATAAAAACATTCATTAAGAACAGAATGGTAATTTGTTAAACTGTGTTTTCTCTTAGGTCCAGTCAGCTTTACAAGCAAGTATTTCACAGATCGATGTAAATGAATGTAGGAGTGCAAATTGTAGTGAGGGCAATGGTTGTACGAACTACCTCAGTGTGAGCGATGTCCCCACAGTGATAGATACTGGAAGTGTCTCATTTGCCACTGTAACAACCACCGTCAGCGCAGTCTGCACTTGCTCAGTAGGGACCTCCTACTCTCGAAGCTCTTGTCTCAATGGTGGAATGTGTATTGACACTTTGAATGGTTACAGGTGAGGAAACTGGGATTGCACCTTAACTTTTTTCCTTTTGTTTTAAAATGTCTAATGTTTTTCTAGACCTGTATCTTTTTAAATATAATGAGTGCAATGCTGACTGAAGGAAAACAAAGAACCTACAAGTATACTGGAGTGTAAACTTAATGACAGTGGTGCCTTTACCAGTGGCCCAGTAACGCCATTTTAGTCTGGAAATCAATGGAAATACTATGTGTGTGTAAGAATTAAAACCCTGGGAAAAAACAGTGGCCTTATGAACATCGCTCATTATAAGACCACTTAATTCAGTAGGAGTTAAATAGCAGCAGGGTGGAGGGGAATAAAATGTAGTTTGAAGAATGGGCAGTAAGGACTTTAGAAAATATTAGATAGTAAACTTGTTTTACTATAGCATCTGGCATGTACCAGTATTCCTTTGGTGAAATTAAATTGTTCATTCGAGCTAGGAATTTATCTCCCAGAGTTTTTGCTGCAATAAACTGGCCAATTGATGTTTGATGTTTCATGTCACTTACCTAGTGAAATAATTCATTATTCTTTAAGTCACAGACTCAGAAATACTTTCTGGATAGAGATAATATGGTGGATAAAAATGCTTTGTACTCATAAAGTATTTTAATAATTGCTTAGCACCACTATACCTGAGATACTTAAAATCCTTGTTTCACTTCTGCTTGTGAGCGTGGCAAGTGCTACATTTGTTACATATAGAACCCCACAAAAAAGTTGAACATTTGGGAATTCTAACAGTTTTTTTGTTTGTGCTCTTTCAGTTGTCTTTGCCCTGCTTCGTTTCATGGACCAGATTGCCAGCAGACTAAGCACAGTTTCCATGGAAATGGTTATGCATGGTTTCATCCCATCAGGCCTTGTTTCGAAAGCTCACTCTCTCTAGAATTTATTACTGCAGTTCCAGATGGACTTCTATTATACAGTGGTCCTTTATCAAATCCAGAACCTGGGAGTACAGAAAACTTCATTGCAATAGGTACTTCAGCAAGTGTGTGGAAAAAAACATATGGGAATGCATGGGTTTTGAACAATGTAGCAGTCAATGAGTTCTATCCTTCCATCTCATGAGATAATTTATTTTCTGGGTTGAAAATGTTGGAAAATAGTTTGAAACATTCTCTAATAGGTATTTCTTTTTTGATGTAATGTATTTTGTAGCCTGCAGCTACGGCTTTGGTCCATTGCAGAGTTGTAGAAATCAGGGGAAAATAAAACAGATTTGTATATTAAAGAGAAAATCTCCCCCAGGAAAACTCTAGTACTATAAAAGGAATTTAGGTAGTTTGAAGATAGATATTACATGATTAATGCAGTCTTAGTCGCATGTCATTCTCATCTAGTTTAGTGAGAAAGGAAATGCACTTAAACTTCTTCTCATCTCAGGGCATTTTGAGCATTATAAAAATACAGATCGATTACCAGGAATAAGTTCCAGTGTTTTACTTTTGACGAAGAAGTGCCACAATCTAAAGTATAAAAATACATACTATATTAAATTAGTATTTCTGCATAATACAAGTCACAGAATACAATTCTAGTTATTTCTGTACTGAACCTTCTATGCTGAACCCCACTTCATGGCACTGGCAATGAGCATTAAATCAGTACATTCATTAAATGTGCTAAAATACCCCAAATGGAAAGATACTTGTTGCTAGATTTATTTTTTTTTTTTGTGTGTGTGTATATGTGGCATTACAACTCACCAGTGGCATTTCTGTGCTGAAGATGAGCCATGGCTCAGGTTCTGTGATACTGCAGTTTCCAAGTCACCTGAATGTAACAGACAAAAAATGGCATCAACTGGAAGTGAGAACCAATGGTCAGGTCAGTTATTTGGTTTTCTGCCTCAGAATATTGGTTATTTCCAATAGCATTTGCCTATGTAGCAACAGGACGGTAGAAAAAAGAGACTGGATAATTATATGTATTATTCTAACTGTGCTTGTAGATTTGATGAGTAATACAAATTTTGGAAAGACAACATTGTCAATTCCAAATCTACCTATGTTGTAATCTTCTTCTGGGATCAGAGAAATCTTTTTTTTTTTTCTTTTTGTAAGCTCTAGCACATGTGGAATGTGCATAAAGGCTTAATTGTAATTTGTGCACTCAGGTATTATTTGAAGAACACTGAGATCCATTACCTGTGCACAAAAAACAGATATTACTTACTTGCAAATGCAGTTACATATTTTGTAAAAGTGGTTAAACTACTCAGAGGTATAAATTGAATGGAAAGGTAAATGCCTTTTCTGTTGAATGGTTCCATTTTGGCTTTAGTGTTTATTGTGAGGAGGAAAACATGGAAAAAGAAACCACAATACTTTTTGGATGATGCTCTGAAAAAAAAAAAGATGAAAATCCGATATCACACGCTTATTGAAACTTACAGTAATTCCTCATTCAGTAACGATGTAGTAGATTCAGTAGGATGTTCGATTCACTTTGGATCATTGCAATATGGCTGTTGTTTCAGAGATAGAAGGAGTAGGCAAATGGCTGTCTACTGAAGATCATACAAATTGTGAAGTCTTTGGGTCTGTTCCACAAAGGGCAAGGTATGTTTCTGGAGATTCACTGAAAGGCAGTTTAGTCTAAGGCCTTTGAACATCCATTCTTGGAGAAGCCAGGAAAGGGACCAGTAAAACTGCTGTATTGGACCTCTGGAGGGCTAACTTTGAACTGTTCAGGATACTGGTTGGCAGAGTCCCTTAGGAGGCTGTTCTGAAGGGCAGAAGAGTCCAGGAAGGCTGGGCACTCTTCAAGAAGGAAATCTTAATGGCTCAGGAGCGGTCTGTCCCCAAGTTCCCAAAGATGAGCCAGCAGGGAAAGAAGACCAGCCTGGCTGAATAGAGAGTTGTGACTTGAGCTTCGTAGAAAAAAGAGGGTTTATAATCTTTAGAAAAGAGGGTGGGCCACTCAGGAGGGTTATAAGGATGTTGCAAGGCTGTGCGGGGACAAAATTAGGAAGGCCAAAGCTCATCTGGAGCTCAGTCTGGCTACTGCTGTTAAAGATAACAAAAAATGTTTTTATAAATGCATCAACACAAAAAGGAGGACTAAGGACAATCTCCATCCTTTACTGGATGCGAGGGGAAACTTAGTTACAAGAGATGAGGAAAAGGCTGAGGTGCTTAATGCCTTCTTTGCCTCAGTCTTTAGCGGCAAGAGCAGTTGTTCTCTGGATACCCAGCTCCCTGAGCCGGTGGAAGGGGATGGGGAGCAGAATGTGGCCCTCACTATCCATGAGGAAATGGTTGGCGACCTGCTACAGTACTTGGATGTGCACAAGTCAATGGGGCCGGATGGGACCCACACGAGGGTACTGAGAGAACTGGCGGAGGAGCTGGCCAAGCCACTTACCATCATTTATTGGCAGTCCTGGCTATCAGGGGAGGTCCCAGTCAACTGGCAGCTAGCAAACGTGATGCCCATCTACAAGAAGGGATGGAGGGTAGACCCGGGCAACTATAGGCCTGTCAGTTTGACCTCAGTGCCAGGGAAGCTGTCACAAGGACACAAGCCTGACCTTTAGTTCCATGCTTGCTATCTGCATTTGTTTTTTGGCACTGTTAGGTAGTTATGGCAACTACATATTGTACCACTTTTGGTGAACTCATTTATCCATCTTGTCCTGAATAGTCATCATCTCATCCTCCTCCTGAAAAAAATGTTTCCTAATGGAGACTTGACTCTGCCTTCACTTCTTTGCCATGCTTTCAGCTCCATCAGCAAACTTATTTCTCATCCCCACGTGCATATATTACTAAGTGAATCAACATTTGATAGCTATGAAAAGTGTTTGCAGTTTATTTTATGCAGATTTTCACTTCTTTGCTAAGGAACTCTTCAGATACATAGTGGGAAGCAAATTCATTTCATAGAATCATAGAATATCCTGAGTTGGAAGGGACCCTTAAGGATCATCAAGTCCAACTCTTGACACCGCACAGGTCTACCCAAAAGTTCAGACCATGTGACTAAGCGCACAGTCCAATCTCTTCTTAAATTCAGTCAGGCTCGGTGCAGTGACCACTTCCCTGGGGAGCCTGTTCCAGTGTGCAACCACTCTCTCTGTGAAGAACTTCCTCCTGATGTCAAGCCTAAACTTCCCCTGCCTCAGCTTAACCCTGTTCCCGCGGGTCCTGTCGCTGGTGTTAATGGAGAAAAGGTCTCCTGCCTCTCGACACCCCCTTACGAGGAAGTTGTAGACTGTGATGAGGTCTCCCCTCAGCCTCCTCTTCTCCAGGCTGAACAGGCCCAGTGCCCTCAGCCGTTCCTCGTACGTCTTCCCCTCCAGGCCTTTCACCATCTTCGTAGCCCTCCTCTGGACACTCTCCAACAGTTTAATGTCCTTTTTATACTGTGGTGCCCAGAACTACACACAGTACTCGAGGTGAGGCCGCACCAGCGCAGAGTAAAGCGGGAACAGAATTTGAATATTTGAATATTTGAACAGAATGAGGAAAAATTGCTACAAAATAAGCAGTTTGAAATACTATTGATCATGAAACAGATTTTTTCAGTCCAGGAGAAACACCTTGCGTGATAGAAGTGTACTTGGTCAGACAAGAATAGTTTCTTGCACCTTAACCAGTTGTATCACAACTGGCAGCCGCTTTTGGCTTCTTGAACTGTTTTCAGGTATTTGATTTCAGAAGGAAGCGAAAAAGAAAGATCTCACTATTCAGGAAGGATCACATCTGCTAGTTCTTGTTTATTCAAATTTCATGAAATCAGGACACGTTTTTTTCTCGTAGCTTTTACAGTTTTTATTAAGTTGAGGTCAGAAGTTATAGTAACAGTATGAAAGTTTTTCGTGGACTATTTTGAATTGATCTGTAGCTACGTGAAATACTATCTCTGTCCCCAAGTCTGCTGGGTACTATATTTGCTGTGAAAATATAAATAGCAAGTAACGTGGGAAGCTAACTGGTTTTGCATCTTTTGGAATCAGAGTTACTTAATGTTGATAGGAGATCATTATGTTAAAGGACTTTTTTTTTCCCTGTGTCATAGCAGTTTTGATGTGAGTTTTGTGTTGTTACCTGTGCTTGACTGAGTCTGGCTGAGAAACCAACAAGAACTTTAAATAGTAATCCTTCTAATCTTTCAGGTCTAAATTATGTTAGAAAGAGTTGGTTTTAACCAAGTGGTGTGCATTGTTATGAAAGTTTTAATAGATGTGGTTAACTATGATGTTATCACTCAACTGCAACTTTTGTCAGGAGAATTTTTAATAAAATCACGGTTCTCAAGATTTCAAGTGCCCTTCCTCATATATAGCTTCCAAAAAACTGGTAATGCACTTATCAAATGATAAATTCATGCAATTTTACGTATAAATTTGTTAGCTTCCAGTAGATGAAAAAAACTGCTTCTCTGACATTAGACTACATCTTTGAAAATCAAACATGGAACCAGTTTGCAATTAAGGTGATACTGAGGTGGCTTCACCTTGGTTTGATATCACATGCTTTTAATAACAACCACGTGCAGTGACAGCTTGAGATGATAAATTCATTTCTAGTTGAGCAGAGAATCAGGCAGGAACTTACAGTGTTGATATCTGTATGAAAGAGGTACTATCCTCAGGAGGAATCCTTCAGGTTTGGAATCCATTATGTCTTAGAACATGGGCTATATTCATTTTAAGAATTGGGTTTTTATTAGCAGTCACAATAATTGAATAGGAAAGATGTAGAACATTAAAAGATACCAAATATCTAAAAATCAGCTCAGCTAAATGACCGCCAAAAAATTACCATGTGTAAAAATTCGTGTGTTGTGGTTCTGGTAATTCGGGGGTGGGGGAAGAAGAAAAAGTAAATATTTATCTCAAGTGCATTGATTCAGCTTGAAAAGTGTAGCTGCACAGCGCAGTGCAGGGCATAGCCCTCAGTGTACACTGGTTTCAGTTCAGAGCTCATCCAGGTGCTCTTATAGAACTGCACTCTGCAGTAGGTGCTCTGTAGGATCTTCCCGTCCATTTAATTCACTGCAGTGTTAGTTAATGGTACCCAATAGTTTAAGGTCTTACTATGAATGTTAATCTATTTTGTAGAGTTTGTAGCACACTGGTACATAAACTTCTATTTACATAGTTTTCAGTATCTTATGTTGACGTTTTATAACTCTGTGTATAAAATGCACCTAAACATTTGAGAGAAGTGTTTATATTCATGGATGCTAAAGGTACAACGTGCCTGATTTTTTTCTAGTAGTATGTATAGTAATTTCCTCTTTAGTCTCATGTCTTCCTATGCTTCATTTCTGTCTAATTGTATCTGTGACTCTCAACTCATTGTTATTTATGTGTTATCTCTTTGTACATATTTTCTCTTAAAAAGTTTAATAACTTTTTAAGATTAAAATTAAGATTTAATAAAATTCTTAAAAGTTTAATAAGTAAATTAAAAAAAAAATAGTGAAAAGTCACTAGTGGCGTCCCCCAGGGCTCGGTGCTGGGGCCGGTCCTCTTTAACATCTTCATCAATGATCTGGATGATGGCATTGAGTGCACCCTCAGTAAGTTTGCAGATGACACCAAGCTAGGTGCGTGTGTCGATCTGCTCGAGGGTAGGAAGGCTCTGCAGGAGGATCTGGATAGGCTGCACCGATGGGCTGAGGTCAACTGCATGAAGTTCAACAAGGCCAAGTGCCGGGTCCTGCACCTGGGGCGCAATAACCCCAAGCAGAACTACAGGCTGGGAGAGGAATGGTTGGAGAGCTGCCAGGCAGAGAAGGACCTGGGAGTGATGGTGGACAGTCGGCTGAATATGAGCCAGCAGTGTGCTCAGGTGGCCAAGAAGGCCAACGGCATCCTGGCTTGTATCAGAAACACTGTGACCAGCAGGGCTAGGGAGGTGATCGTCCCCCTGTACTCGGCTCTGGTGAGGCCGCACCTCGAGTACTGTGTTCAGTTTTGGGCCCCTCGCTACAAGAAGGACATCGAGGTGCTTGAGCGGGTCCAAAGAAGGGCGACGAAGCTGGTGAGGGGCCTGGAGAGCAAGTCCTATGAGGAGCGGCTGAAGGAGCTGGGCTTGTTCAGCCTAGAGAAGAGGAGGCTCAGGGGTGACCTTATTGCTCTGTATAAGTACATTAAAGGAGGCTGTAGAGAGGTGGGGGTTGGCCTGTTCTCCCATGTGCCTGGTGACAGGACGAGGGGGAATGGGCTAAAGTTACGCCAGGGGAGTTTTAGGTTAGATGTTAGAAAGAATTTCTTTACTGAAAGGGTTGTGAGGCACTGGAACGGGCTGCCCAGGGAGGTGGTGGAGTCACCATCCCTGGAAGTCTTCAGAAGACGTTTAGATGTAGAGCTTAGGGATATGGTTTAGTGGGGACTGTTAGTGTTAGGTTAGAGGTTGGACTCGATGATCTTGAGGTCTCTTCCAACCTAGAAATTCTGTGATTCTGTGATTCTGTGATTCTGTAAATAGGTCTCTGAACACCACTTGCGGCATTCAGTTCTTCAGTCAGTTAAGCTTCTAACTCCAAAGCTGTACTTTAAAGGGTATTTTAAGATACTCTCTAAAGGCCTTTTCTTGTATCTTTGGTATTCACTTGTAACTACAAGTATGCAAAGAGTGCAAAAATCAAACATGTTGAGAAACACAAAACTACAGCCTTACTGGTTCTGATTGCACGCCATTGCTGCAGTCCTCATTAAGAGTGGCTGCTGTCTTAGCCACACTGCAGTACTTCTCTATGTAAATGTCATATTTATTTCTGAATTATGTTGTTTTACTCCTGTGTGTTTACACAGTTCTGTTCAGTGCTATATTCTTGTGGGCTTGCTGGAAGAGTCACTTCAGAGTGTGAATGGAGGCATATACCATGTATTGGCCCATCACGATGATTTGGAGGACATCAGAGAAAGTATCCTCAACTACAGTGAAGAAGGGGGTGGGGAACTGTTGCGAAGCACGGACAAAAGCACAACAGACACCAGCAGAGTCAGATCATGCTTCACCATTTTATTGCCCGAATAGCCCAACTTTTATAGTGAATTTTACAGGGATGGACAGTGTTTCACACAAGATTATTGGTCAAAAGCACACAGACAAACCGTTAAGAAAATAACACCACCTTTTGATTAGAAGTTAGGAAAACAACCCCCTTTGTGCTTAACGGTCACGTAGGCCTAGTCCTTGAGGCCAGCTGCTGATAACAATATTTTCTGAGTTCCTTAATTGGGTGATGTGGGAGTCATTGCCGTGGGAGCTTCTCACAGTTACTCTGGCAGCTTGGTTTGCTCAGCTACAGCAGGCCCTGAGATTTCTAAGGCCTACCCCTGGTTGCTTATGTCCACGTCCTGTATGCCAATTCCCAACAGGGAACAAGACCAAGTAAGGATCATTGTGTTACGTTACTATTACAAGGGGACTGTGGGCTCACCATGCTAATGAATATATGTATTATGCTGTTCCTTTAAAATGAGGACCTTAGCCTTTGTTTTGCTGATTCATTACTGCAATTGATAATTATTTGCAATGGTTTGTACAAAAGAGTTCATGTTTTTTAAGCAGAGATAAATGCCTATCAATTTTTGATTGCTCTCAAAACAAGTGATCTTATATGCATATTTAAAATTACTGCAGTGTGAGTTTAGAAGTGAAGAACCAACAGCTGATGTCCTTGGTTTCATGACTCGGGAGATGCTGTGGTACTCCCGTAATTGCTGCTGTAGCACTGAGGGTTTGAAAGAGCCTAACATGAACTGTTCTCCTTAGACGTAGGCTGTCTATTCTTAGAGACTGTTAGAGTATTTTGTCCACTATTCTGAATATTAGTTTTCTCAAAGGCCTCAGAGTTACTCAGACTTGACTTGTTAAGAAATTCAGGTATTCCATTTAAGCCTTAAAGTATATGGGGGTAGCTGTGGAAGAAACTGTTTTAGGGATTTCTACACAGCGTTTTAAGCCATAACTTTGAGAGGAAGTTGCAGGTATTACAGATGAATAATTTAAATAGATTATTTGCTGACCCACAGATGTTTGCCATGTTAAAAATATGTATTGCCTTCTTTGAACTAGTTAATTTCATGGGTTCAAAAGGTGCCATGACACTGCAGAGGAAATAATCGTCAGGGCATTAATGTGACAGATCGAAAAAGCCAGTGCTAAAGAAAAAAAAGTGTCCCAAAATGCAACGTCTTCAAGAATTTTTAGTAATAACATATTAAGAGTGTTTTACAAGGCCACGTGAGAAAACATTCTTGTAGAGTGTCCTTAATTTCTTGATAAATTACTGTGACCATATTAAATACAGGGGCATTTTTCCATGTGATACATACAGCTATATACATAAATTCTATTTTCTTTAGTAAAGTGAACTTTCTCTGCAGCATTTTGCAATTTTGCACCCAGAAGGTCTATAGCTTAAGGAAATACATAGTTACTCTATGGCAATATAATTACTTCTGGAGAGATCTTAAAATACACTCCTGATATTAAGCAGTTGAATCAACTAAATTAATGACCTGATGATCTTAATCTGAGGCTATTACTGCATCTTGAAGAAATGTTTTGAGTGAAGCCTCTATCTATAGGTTCTATATACTGATCCTAAATTATTCAGATTTTGTAATTGCTTGGATTGCAGCTCCAGTACTCTAGTATTTTTAATACCTAACTGTTTGTCTAAATTAAAAAAAAAAAACAACCAACACCCAGAATTACAATAATTTAGGTATATTATAATGTTATCTTAACAAAAGGATCCCAAAGGTACAGAGAGTTTTGGTGGAACAGAGAGTTTTGTCTTTGGAATGTTAGCTGAGAGTAGATCTACTGGGACAAGAAAGAAGGCTGAATTACTGCACCTGAAATAAACATTAATATCATTAATAAAGATAAACATTAATATCATAATAACATTAATATCCTTCTTATTTGGTTTTTACAATCATGCCACTTGATAATTGGCAATTACTTCAAATTGATAGATCTTGAAGAGAAATAATAGTAGATGTTTGAACTTTAAATAGCTACTTTTGAACTGTATTTTCTTACCTTTGGTACTATACACAGTGTCAGGGTTTAGTGATGAAAAACACTCAGATCTGAATTTCAGAGCAAAAATTGGGACTTTTGTCATTCTTATTTGGCTTCTAATAGGAAATTAGACTTGATTTTTAACCTGACTGTAGCAATGCAGGGTGCATGGTGGTTTTTTGCTTTCTTATAGCTCATTGTAGGTGGCAGAGTAGGTTGAACAAGTCAATCCTTGTGTAGTGTTCACACTAAACAGACTGCCTCAGGATTATTTGTTTCTTGTTGATGTCCAATAGAACATGGAATTTGGGGACCTATAGAGAACATAATAAATTTAATGTGAATGGTTTCTCACTCCAGGATGCATACAACATGGCAGAACTGCAGGTGTCTATTCAAACCAGCCCAGCCTATTTCCTCTGCAAGAAAAAAGAAAAAGCAACAAAACTGAACAGCTTCTTTAGTGGTGCGTCCCCAAGCATGCAGGAGCAGACCAAAACATCGGTGCCTACGAAACTCTCTTTTTCTAGTGCAGACTTTGGTCAGTACTTGTCAAATGTTGTTAGAAATGCTGACCACCACCCCCAAGCTGTACCCTGTGACTCACTGCAAGTGTTTTACACCGAAGGAGAAGGCTCAGTTGCTAGCAGTCCAGTGCCCTGAGCTCCTCTGACCTGGATGAGGGTATAGTGTATGATGACATTAAAGACTGGGGAACAAAGTTTGAGAAACTAAGTGAACTGTACTTGCATACAGATGCAGAAGATCTGTAGATTACCAGGTATGCTATTTTCAGAGTTTTGGAAGCAAGTGTGAAGGACTTCATGCTCTTGCTGCTTACTTTCAATAATTGTGTACTACTGCTCTCACCCTTCTTTTTATTTTTTATTTTTTAAATTTTTTTGAAATTCCTTCTTAATTGATGTATTTAGTAGCAGGAGCTTGTCTTTGGTCATTCTGGACATTTACTTTTGGGGATATTAAGTAAAGGGAAAGAATACAGACACAACTTGGACTACTTAAGTGATTCACATAAAATACCTGAGAAATAAACATTTTTTTCCTGTCACTAAGGTAATAATGGGCTCTTTGAGAATTCCTTATGTTAGCTCATGTACACAGCATCTCTCAAAGAGTTTGATATTACCTTAATGCAGAAAGAAATTGATTATTTCTCAGATAAACAAAATCCTGCCAAAAGGTTAATAATTAAAAGATGGTAGTTTTCAAAAATTATGCAGGAACTATCCTGGCTGCTAATGTATCATAGCAGTATGACAGCACAAAATAATGCAGCTCTCAGATACATGTTAGTAGAAAATCATGATCGTTTGGGAACAAAGAGAGGGAGGGAACAAACAGCAGTTGCTAGGGGTGAAATACCTTCTAAATTACCAATCCTCTTTTCAGACTGTTTAATGTTCAGCTATTATTCTTTTGTTTGTTTGTTTGTTTGTTTTTTAATAGAAAATATTTGGAATAAAGAAGGCACCATTCATATGAGGTGTTGTACAATGAAGCCACTAAAATAGCTTTGCTTACAGTTACACAAGTAGCTTGTTTGGGAGGTCTGGCTTTTATTTTCATTTTATAGGTTGGATTAATTTGCATGTTGTCCAAGTGAGAAATGTCCATGCAGTATCTTCTTTGTGCATGCATTTGTGACACACTTCGAATAACCTTGAGCACTCAATCAACTAATTGCTACAAATTTCAGATGATGTGGCATTTCATCAGGAACAGCTATGTGCCATTTTTACCCATGTCTAATAGTTCTGATTCACAGACAGTACATGGGCTGTGATTTTATGATTTTACTTATATGCTTACCTGGGAGGAAACACAGGTTCAAGTATCGTGTCATGTTCACAAGTTGGGTATGTCAGAGTCTATAGTTCATTACTTTAGCAGTTGCACAGCACAAAAAAAAAAATCTAGCATTTCCCCAGACAGCACTAATTGTATGTGCATTCCTTGTGTTCTTGCCACAACTATGGACAGACTGTCATTTTTGTCATTTTCATTTAATTTAGCTTGTAAGCTCCTTGGGGCAAGGACTGTCATCTCATTTCCCTGTGAAGTGTCATATATATCTAAAGCACCGTATGAGTAATAAATACACCTTCTGTATATGGTGTCTCTTCCTTGCATCTATTTAAGGTTGACTGAAGCTTGGATTTTGCTGAATTACTTCCCTCTCAGCTTTGATCAGACACTTCCACAGACTACAACATGCACGCTGCTCTGTCTGAAGAGAAGCTGAGGGAGGCAGCTGACTGACATGTGGACTCAAGCTTTAGGTACACACACAACTGTTAATATCTCTGAGTTTTCCAGACAGATGGCTGCAAGCTTGCTGGGGCTACAGGCCAGCACTATTCTCAGATACGAATGCTTTTTGTAACAGACAGACCACTATTCTGAGAAGGAAATTACTAACTTTACGTGCAATATTTACTCAAGTTGTGTTCCCCATTGGCTTTACTCTACAATCAACCCTCTGGCTGGGAATAGGGAGCTAAGCTGACATGCAGTATGTCCTGCTGCTCTGAGCCTTACATTCACCACAAGCAACAGGACACTTACAAAAGGTGGATGGTTAACAGTGTCAGGTGCGACAGGCAGGACAAATGGCATGGAGACTAATATATCTCATAAAGTTCCAGTTGTTTTCCTTTCTCTTCCTCCCTACCCTGTAATTTTAGTTCATTCCCACAGGACTAAAGGGTTGAGATTTGCAACAGAATGCAATAAACAGAGGAGTCAGTAGTGCTTTGTTCCAACTCCACTGCATTTAAACACATTTCTGAGCTTCTGAGAAAAATTATAAACGTTTACCTTCCCAGGAAAGTGCCCTGATTATAGGGTATTCTGTGACATGAAGAGCTCCACATTGTTTAAGTGCTTAGACCATCTGTGAAATACTTGAATGGTCACTGGGTGGGAGTAAAAGCAAGCCAGATCAAAATTCTTGTAGCATGGTGACTTTGCACTAGAGGAACTGGGTTGCTCAGCATAGTTGTAGAGTTACTCTGATTGAGATGTCTCCGATTTCCATTCCCAAACAGGCAATTTGGAAGCCAAGCTGAAGTTGCTCCTCTAACTACTTCCCCAATTGCAGCTGTGTTGTGATTTGTAATCATACATACACAAATAAACAAGCCAACCCTCACAGTTGCTTGTGTTTGTAACTATAGTTACACTTTTTTTTTTTTTTTTTTTTACATAATGTAAACCAAGGAGTCAGAAGAACTTCAAAACCTGTCTGCTGAAAAATCTTTTCTTTTCCTTCATATGGACTGACAAACAGCAGATTCCCTAACAGCACCTTTTTCAATCCATCCCACCATAAAAACCCAAAATATCTGATTTTCAAATTACTCAATTTATTTAGTATACAAGAGTCACTACATCTCTTTACAACAACATATAAAATAACTATGTTAGATCTCACCAGCAGAATTGTGAAAGACAAAATGAAAATATACTTGTGGTCCTCAAAGGCTTTTCTCCCCTAAAAACATTCCAGCCACTTGATAACATTTTGCCTCTGTGATCTAAAAATGTCATTCAACGCCATCCATTCCACTGATAATGCACAGCTTGAGTCCTTCCAGACAATATGTAACACACATGAAATCATGATGGTGTCATTCACATAGCTAGTTATTTCAGATTTTGGTAAGTGCATTGCCATGAGTGTTGTTCATGGGGATACATCATACTTAGTACTTAGAAACAGTGAAATCACTACAGCCGCTTGGAAATAAGGTGCATCAAGATGATGTAGATCAGGAACAGGTGAAGTTATTATAAAAAAAAAATGCACATGTATAATGCAGTAAATATATACCATAGTAAGACACAGAAAGTAGAGAACGTATCCAGTCAAGTAAAACACCACATAGCTCCTAGAAACCACCTGGATTTAGAGCCAACCTCTAGGAACAGGAAGCATAGCCCTCTGTACCACCAGTCCCCACAGACCAGTAGGTTGGCCAACACCACTGGCCGCCATGTCCAGCATGCCTTGCTGTGGCGGGCAAGCCTTTAAATTAGGGCAGAGGAGCAGCTGCTTGCTGTCTGAGTGCTGTGTTGACAAGTGTATGTACCTTTCCTCAGAGCTGGTAGGTGGTTTTGTTTCTTGACATTTTCTATTTTACTGTTTTAAAAAGATCATTCTTCTGAATGCTTTATTATACAGTCATTGAAATACACCCTTCATCTTAAATCTTTCAAATACAGAAGTGTTGGAATAGCTTGGAAGCGTCACAAACTACCTGGCCTTAATGACTGCTAGCTGCAAAAATTTCAAAAGTGGTTTGTATCTAATGCTTCAAATTTCTGGTGTGCTACTTTGGGAGATATTAGTGTTATGCAAAAAATTGTTACTGTGGTAGTTCTGGATCAGGAGAGTTGTGGTTTTTATGTGTACACAAGAACAAAGGTAGCTTGGATTTTATTTTAAAAAACAAATAGACCTTTTTATTTTCTATATTTTTATTTCTCTTGTGGCAAAATCACAGGCTGTGTTTTTGAAGAAAAAAGTCTACTTAAAATAATTGTTATAGCCTGGACTTCTAGTCAGAGCTGTTACCTACAAATAAATTGTGAAAATCTTGGGGTACCACTGGATCTTGGAATCTCTCATAAGAAAGTTACTGCACCTTTAAAGGAAGATAAAACCACATTTTAAAATAAGACAGTACAGCCTAAATACACTTTACCTTACATTTGCTTGTTTTCAATTACTGTAAGGCACTTATTGAGGAATTCACTGACCCATGCTTTCAGCAAGAACAGGTGTGCGTCATTACAAGTCTAATTAAAGTTTTAATACTGATTAAAGTGTTTTATCATTGTATTATGTTAAACTGCAGTGGTCTCCAACCTCATTAAGAGATACAGGATAGAATGTACTCAGGAGTTTCAGTTGCACAGTTTAACAGTCTAGCTACTGTCAATGTTTGATTTAAATACAGTCTGATTAAAGAATGCTTTCTTTTTGTGTTAGCATGGAAGTATAGAAGGATATTGAACACTGTTAATGAGTATTTACTGAATATAAAATTGTTTGAGCATGTGACATAACCATCTCCATCTCTTCAGTAATTTACCTTAGTACAACTGAAAAGGGAAAACATTTAAATCATTTGGAATTGAAACACAGGCTAGTTTTGGAAACTAATCTTATTACACATCTTGATTAAATTAAATGTGGAATTTGCTATCAGTAGCACTTTAAGTTTCCCATCATTAGAAATTAATTGCAGTGGTAATTATTATAACAGAGTTATTTGCACAGGCCACAAACACTCTTATAGGTGTTCAAATGTTAATTCAACTAGAGATGCTTAATTATTACAGTTCTGTTTTTCATACGAAACAAATGATCGCAGTGGATGTCTAATTAAAGTTGGAGTACTGTTAGACTTTTAATCAGACTTAATCTCTAATTTCAATATAAAACCCTAAAACACACTAAAAGTGACATACTATCTACTGAGCATTTACAAAGTCAATACAATCCACGAAATTCTAGCCTGGTAAAAAGACAAAGACTACAAACAAATCACAAATTCACAGGATTGAGGACTGCTTTCATGCAATCTTCCAAACCAATTTAAAAAAATTGTGGTATCTTAGGCTAAAGAGCAAGGATACAGTGATTTTTGTAATAAAATAAATGGCCTTGTGACTGGAGTAATGTAAAGCAAAGCTCTAATACCCAAACATATTTAAATACTTAAGGTTCCTGTCAATTTTAGGGGTGAATGTTTCTTCTGTAAGGTTGGCAGTGTTCAGTTTTGGTATCTTACTTTTGGAATTCATGTGGGGAGAAAATCGCCCCCCTATAGTTCATAAACTACATACAGAAAATAATGCAAGAGTCCAAGCTGAGAAATTCGTGTTTTGTTTGTCCTGAGCATTCTACAAGGATATTTTACAAGGATACATGCAACATGTATCAGGCATGCTCCAACCTTAACTCTCACTAGAAATAGGTAACACTCCATCGTTATATGCATAATGTTATAAAACAGTATGTTTCTTTATCACTAAAAATGCAGAACAATGATTAAAGTTTTATTCTTTAAACTTGTTTGCTGATTCTGCAATCACACCCACAAGCTTAGAAACTCATATCCACATACATTCCCAATGAATTCAAAAAAGAGGCACTGAAAGAGCGTAAGGATCTGTCAAAATAGATCACATTGTAAGACTAAACCCTATTTTTTTAATTAAAGATTCACAAAGATAACACATACTCAGTATAGAAGTAGCATGGCCTACTTTCATTGCATTTCTGTAACTTTATAGTAAAAATCCAAAACGGTGAGCAGAATTTCATAGGCTAGCTATTCTGCAGTGGTCATGCAGGCTGCTCATTTTGTGCGTCTTTCAGCTGGTTACAACTTGAAAACAATTTCACAGGTATTTCAAAGTTCAGATTTTATAATCAATATGGTCCCAGTTAGCATTTATGAATCATTGACAATTTTGGCAACATCAAGAATGTTATCAAAACTAAAACTGTCTTAAAACAAAAAATCAAACAAGAAACCATCAATGTAAAATGTCTCACAAATGTGAAATGTTTGTAAACTTCTGTATTTTCTAATGTGGGTTCTGGCATTAAAAAAAATAATGAACTTGAAGCCATTGTTGGAAATGTTATTTATACTTAGCAAGTTTGTAAACATGGAATGTTTTGTTTTGAAACACTCTAATGAAGCGTAAAGTATAAGAAGGCAGATTTTTTTTAATTTCCTCACAGAAGCGAGGATACAAGGAAGGCTTCAAATCAGGTTCACTCTCTCCCAAACCATCCATGATCTGTAATGAAATTGAACAGCTTTATGAAATACCTGTAGCCAATTCAGTTACATAAAATAACAAGAAACTGAAAACAACCTTGGTGATACAATCAGGGTTAGACTGGCCAGATTTGTTAACAGTGACTGTGTGAAACAAGTGAGAGGAAGAAAGTAACATGAAACCAGTAAGATTTACAGTATCATTGTTTCTCAAAATGCTAACTTGTCAGTGGCAAATATCTGCTTTGGGTTATGGGGTCTGCTACGGTTCCATGTTAGCTCTAGAAATGTTTGACAATTCTACTTGCA